TTAATAAATTATTTATTAATTTATTTTTCTTTTAATTGATTTTTTTATTTATTAATATATTTTTTTATTTTTTTTTTACTTATTTGTTTATTTGTTTATTTAACTACTAGTTTTAATCTTTATTATTTATTTAAATTGTTATTTATTGATATATTTATTTATTCATCTTTTTATTGACATATTTTATATTTACTTATTTAATTATCTATTTATTTTTATAATTATTTATTTGTTTATATATTTATTCATGTATTATTAAATACTATTTATTAATATTTTTGTTAATTCAAATATAATTATGAATAACTGCAATTCAGGTTGCGATGGCACCAGCTTCAACGACTATATGCCTTTAGTATATTTTATTTGCAACCTGTCGGTTAATATTTAGCTAATATTAGAAATATATAAGAATACTTCCTTCATTTGCCCAAAATAGTTGTCTCCAGTTGAGTTATCTCGAAAATAATTGCTAATTATTTTGTGAATTTTTGAAAGGCTTCCCATTTCTATTATTGCGCAGAAAATCAAAAAGCTACATACGCTATTCAATGCAACAAGTATACTGAGTCAACTCCACCTTCATTCATTTACTCATTAATTGAACGCATCATTAGGTATTCAAAATTAAGTGCGTTGTGCATAATTGAGCGTAACAATAACGAAAGATTTATTTTGCTCAATTTATTGTGCTTCATTTTATTTTATTTTTATTTTATATTATATAATTTTATTCTATTTCATTTTTTATTTTATTTTATTTTATTTTATTTTATTTTATTTTATTTTATTTTATTTTATTTTATTTTATTTTATTTTATTTTATTTTATTTTATTTTATTTTATTTTATTTTATTTTATTTTATTTTATTTTATTTCATTTTCTGCAACCTTCATTTAAGCTCCCTCTAAGTAATACGGTTACGACTAAGTTTTACTCGTATAATGAAGAGCTTTCGTATTGTAATTAAATTTCGAAACTAATGTGGATAATGTCTAGTTCAAAACTATACTGCTTTTGTAATATGATTATACTTGATTCTACTAACTTTCCTGCTTAATTTCTGCCACCGACTGCAATACTCGTAATACACAGTAATTACAAAAAGCTTGCAAAATTTACTAGTCCAGCAAATCTAGCATTGAAAAACAGAGGGTCAGTCAATGAATCTGTGCGCTGAATTATAAACTCAAACAAATATGAATGCAAATCTCATCTCTTTCTCTCCAAACTGCTCCATTTCGAAACTTTCTTAAATTTATGCATTTAATGTGTGCTCTGTTGCTCGTTGCTACTGTTCGCGCCCTCCCTCGCTCTACACATTTGGCTCTACACCCTCTTCACTGGTTACCATAAAAGTTTGAACTTTAACCTTAAACTTGTACAGCACAAACAAACGAATAGCAGCCAACCAGCCATCAGGCAACACAAGTAAACATAAACATACAAACACATGCGTTAAATAAACTTTTGTGCAAGTAGAGAGAGAAAAAAAAAACCGAAATGAAACAACTTTATCACCAGCTCATTCATTCATTTGGCTGCTCAGCCAGTAAATGGTTTGCAGCTGTGTCGTCTCTACGCTAACTGACTGGCTGCCTGGCACGTACGAGAAATGGCAATGTTGACAGTGATTAAGTTGAACTACCAAGCAAATAGTGATTTCCTCACACAAATTCTGATATTATTTAAGCAGCAATGAGTTTTCCACATGTCAAATGTGAATGAGTGTAGGCGTGTATGTATAAAATGTGTTGCGTAGTTAAGTTAGTCAAAAGCATACTTAATTAAAACTATGCGAATATTTGAGAATTATTTAGGTTACGTATACGCACCGGTGTGCAAATATAAGAACTCTTAATGTAGAAAAAGAAAAAAACATACAATTTAGAAATTTTTGCACTTTGTGGTTTGTGGCCAAAAATCTATTGAAAATGAAATGCAAGTCAATGTGGTAAATACTCAAAGTAGGATTTGAAAATGAAACGATTTCAGGTCAAACAGTGCGTATACGTAACTCAAGCAAATATACAAATAAATTCAAATATAAATAATTATAAACTTGAATAGCTTAACAGGCTGTGATTTTATTGAGAATATTGTGAAGATAATTGAAAAGTAATATGTAGGAAAAATAAGAAGAAATATATTTTAAAAACAGCTAGTTATAATATAGCGTTAAAAAAAAAAGGAAACATCAGCAAAATTTTATTTTCTATCATTGATATATACGAAAAAAATTGTTTATATATTACCTAGTACATGCGCTACTAAATACATACATTCCTATTTACCATCAGACATTGCAAAAGAGCTGTCGAATGAAAATATGACATTTGCAGTAACCCGCAGAAAGCATTTTAGAAAAGTAACAGCAAGAACTTTCTGCAATCATGCACGCATATATATGTATATAAATGTACCAATAGGAAGTTGTATATATATATGAATAAATATGTGTTTGTCTCGTGAAATGAGAAATGTGACGTGAATAAAATATAATTTCACACGCCTACATACTACGACTTCCAATGAGCATTTCCTAGCAACAACACCTACAGTTGCATTTCTATATGGAAGAGCGTTGAAAATATATACATATATTTATATAATAGATATATATATATTTTTCCAAGCACATAAGAACGTTATAAATTTCTTTCGTTTATGTTTGCTCATTGTTAGCGTTTAATTATTTTTTTTTATATTTATTATTCCACTTTTACGACTTCCTTCACAATGTAGACTATTAAATTGCCAAATGGCAATTATTTTATAATAATTTAACTTTTTCAAAAAAATTATAATACCGCGACAATACTCGAACCTAACCACTGAGCCGGCTTCTGAAGCAAATTGAACACTTTGACGTCCAAACTTTACCAAAAACAGATCAAAAACATAGTTATGAGATTACGAAGAATACTTCTACTTACAGGATAGTCGCATAATAGCTGAAAGCTTGTATCATTCAAAAAGAAAGCTCTTTAAATTTAATAATATTCAACTCATTAGTTAGTTATTAGAGACACTAATTTTGCTATGTTCAAAATAATGGATCAAAAACGAATAAAACAGAACGTCTGCTGCCGACGTTCGTGGTCACCTCACAACAGAAAACACCAAAAAAAATTTACAAATTTTGAGTGGTATTAAAGAAAGGCTTTGTATTGCAACAACATTTAAGCTCTTTGGACATGTTTAAACGTAAAAACACGGAAATTATCGCACAACATATGAAACATGAATCCTTTGGTATAAATACGATCGTCATTTGGGTTGGTGGTAACTGGTGACCTTCGTCCGAATTGCGCGAAGGCACAAGAATTGGCTGGAAAGGTTTTGGTTTGAGTATTTCAGATTGTTCATCGGCAAACTTGAGATGAAAAATATTGTCAACAGTGAACAACACAGAGCATTTGAAGGTCTAAGTATTAAAAAAAAATGAAGAAACAACAACGCAAAGCCCCATCAAAACAGTGGCAAACTTATATGAACTGAACCTCGCACATCCATCATATTTGCCTACTGGCCAATCGCAAACCTCAAAAAGCTGTTCACCCGTAAAAAAAAATAACTGGAAAGAAGAGCCAACAGGAAGGGTGTAGTGTTCCACCAGGACAACGCCAGACCACACACTTCACTGATGACTCGTCAGAAGCTACGGGAGCTCGGATGGGAGGTTTTATCGCATCCACCATATAGCCCGGACGTAGCGCCAAGTGATTACCACCTGTTCCTGTCCATTTCGAATGCCCTTGGTGGTGTGAAGTTGAACTCAAAAGAGGCTTGTGAAAAGTGGCTGTCCGAATTCTTCGCAAATAAGGAGGGGGGCTTCTACGAGGAAGGTATTATGAAGTTGCCGTCTAGATGGAAACAGATCATCGAACAAAACGGAGCATATTTTAACTAAATCCGATCACTGTAACACTTTTTATAAAACATTGAATGAAGAGCAAAAAAGCGGAAGGGAGATATTTTATTATATAATATAAAAGATTCTTCCTGAAATACTGACGGATAAACTCACAGTCTGAACAACTGATCGTAGAGACCTGAAATTTAAAGTGGGGTCCGTAGCGTATGAGATAGACATCCGATAAGAAAGGACTTTCCGGCATATAATCCTGGGATTGATTTATCGCAATTATTTTTGCTATAAATGTACACAGATAGCCCATATAGGCACAGGGAGCTCCTTTTCTTCCGCAGAGTGAACCTTGAATCGTTCTAAAGGAACAAAATTTCATTTATTGTTTGATTTCCTCAATATTCGGTACAAAGGTAGCTTAAATATGGGTACCACTTTTCTTCCGGCAGGTGGCTCTAAAGTCGATCTACTATTAAAAAAAATCATATTACGGCTCGATTTACATAAAATTCGGTACAGAGGTAACTTTTTCGCCTGTATTAATTCCAGAAATACTTTTTCTTCTGTGAAGTAGGCTTGAAATCGATTCAATGGTTGGATGTTACGTAATATGCTCTTCACTTTAATAAGTGGAGATCTTTTTTTCTGGAAGTGAAATTGCGCAGAATTTTGTGGACTACATTTTTTCTTCTCTAAGTGCAGTTTTTAGTCCGGGCTGGCTTGAAGACCGTAAGCATAGTTGTATATCTTTCATCACTCATCTTTCGAAAACCGTAAATTCTCGAAAGTGTACTTAGAAAGCAGAGATTAGAATCGCATATTAATTACTCTGAATTCAACGGAACTTCGACTTTTTTGTCTCTTTTTGATACATTCATATGCATTATTCCCTTAAATTTTAATTTTTCGTAGTGTAAATATTTTATTCACATTTTACTCAAACAACTTAATATGTTAAGTGAAAAAATATTTGGCAACGACATAAATAATGCCATTTTAAATAATATTTTTAGAGAATTTCACTTCGCATTTGACCTTTTATCGGTATCAACGCCACTTATATGTACACACATGCATATGTTCATACTCTTATTTAACATACAAAGGGTCCAAATGGCATGAGTGAAGGGTTGAGTGAAAATTTTTTGGATATTCAACTGCTGACACGTTCACCTCTTTTTAGCTCATTTTGCTACTTATTTAATCTACAAGTTTAACATTCTTTCACTTTTTTTTTATTTCCGTGTTCATATCCATATTGGCACTAAAAATCCATACATACATACATACATTGGTATGCAGATACTTAATATATGTCATGTGTATGTATTTACATTCGTCTTTGCAAAGGAAAATGTACCATATGGTAAGTGTACGATAGCGCATAAGCATTATTTACTATAAGAGTTTTTTTGAAATCGAAAGGTTCTTAGAAAAATAAAATATTCCATTTATTTTTTATTTTTAAAATTATCTGCCTTAAATTGAATGGAATGTTAGGTCCGAGGGTGCATTCGCGTTAACCAAAAAAAATTTCAGTCCTTTGGTTTGTAACATTTCGAAATGTTATCGTTAAAACAGTTATTAAAATAAATATTATCTCGTTTTTACCCGAAACGAAATGCTGTCGTTAATGTTGAAACGTTAACAGAAACTGTTAAATTGCTAACAGAAACTGTTAAACGTTAAAATTGAATTTTAAATTTAACATTTATGCGGTTTCAACGTTAGCGATTTCATTTCGTTTCGATAACAAAGCGCCGAAACGAAACGAAATTATTTCGTTGAGTTTATTTTTTATGTTAACAAAACGAAATCAGTGTTTCGTTAGCTAAGCCACATTGGTTAGGTCTATAACTGCGATTGGATTACTCTTTATGGCTTGAGAGTACTGATATTTTGTACTTGGAAAGATAAGAAGAGACACTAGCGGAGAGAAAAGACGCTTGATTCTACAATTTTTCTTCGATAAAAGCAAAAACGCTAGTTCAGCAGTGAATAGTGTTAATGGTTCTGATACTGCAACAGTCAGTTTCGCCGATTTTGTGCATGTAATTATCACGTAAAAGTGATACCACCGTATGGAGGAGTCTAAAACTAGTTTGAAACCACTTAAAAAGGGCTACTGAATCGTAACAGATATGGACCCAATTTCGAAGCAGATGGTGAGGGGTAATGAAAAAGTGCAACACTTAGAGCAAAATCAAATGCGAGCGGTCCTGGTAGAAGGGCTGTGGCAGAAAGGTTTTATTGTGTATTTGGTGGGATCGGCATGGAATTATCAACCATGAGCTGCTCCCGGCAGTCAAACTCTTAATTCGCAAAGTACAGTCATCATTTGGACTGACCGGCTCCATATTTCTAAATAAGCATCACTGGGGCTCTGGAGTACACTGTAGGTATTAGTCAAAACATCAATTAGGAATTTGCACTCAAGCATCAGCGATAGCGGCCGGGTTTTTTCATAATTTCAATTGCTTTCGGACTTACCCTCGTATATGTACGTAAGTTTTGTATAAAAAAAAAAGGTAAAATAATGTTGGTGAACTAAGCATACTTTACTATTGTGTCTACATATTTACATAAATATACATATATTATATATGTAGATAGAAGAACATACCAACGATTACAATCATTATATTTATTTATGCAATCCTCTTTCTAGGTGCCTTGGCAGTTTACTTAGGTCCGTAAGTTTAGTAAGTTTAGCGGGTTATGGAGACCAACTGTTGTTCGGTTGTTCGCGTGAAAAGAGTGTGGTAGAGTTTATGTAGATAAGCTGAGACATAAAGATGAATGCGTAAAATGAAGCTTTAAGTGAATTTATGGCAGCGAGAAAAAATATTGCCTAAATTTGTCTAAAATTTTCTCAGAGGGACTGACATTTTTTTCTACAATTTCTTGCCTTTAATGATAAATCATAAATACGTAAGTTCAAGGCTGAACTTACTAACGCAGAATCACTCTTGCAGACAGGTACCACTTTGGACTGAGTAAGCAATTGTTGATCGATGAACAAAGACTAAACTATAGCTTCATTTTCCTTCCTTTCCGCCAATATGGTAGAGTGTATTGCTCGATGACAATACCTGATAAGTCGTCATTAAAAGTTCTCGAGGGAAAAGGCTTAGAAGAAGTGCAAATGCCGCAGCCAATGAAATGATGAGCAGTGTGAGATATTCGACGACGTTGACAAACTCGTAGTTCAGCGAATCAAGAGACAGCGGCTACGCTGGCTAGTTCAAGTGGTCCGGATGATTAAGAATGCTGCAGCTTAGAAAATTGTCGATGCAATACCTGCCGGTGAAAGCAGAGGAATAGGAAGGATGTAGGTGTAATTCCAAGTGCAAAATACGCCATAAGCTGCAGTAGGAAAGACCCAGCTCTTGAGAGCATCGAGAATAAAAACATTCGGGCCTTCGGCTACACTTTCACTTACAGTAGAGATGGAACGAGCGACACAATGATGCACTGGCCTTACGTAACCACGAAACATTGCTACGTTTGATTCACCATTTTTGGGATAGGTTTTAACAATCTTAACACGTTGTGCGCTTGTGAAACGATCCATTTTCATAAATGCCTGACTTTTAACTAAAACAAAATATGTTTGTTGTGACAGTTAAGTGAGACAGTAGACAAAATATAGTTAAGTTTTTTTTTTAAACCACAAAATGTTTAACTCTGTACTTGAATTTTGAATGCCAAATAGCCACGTAGTGCTTATAAAATTTATATCTAATAGCTTAATTGGGATAAACGAGTAATTTATTTGGCATTAAATAAAATAACACGTAACTTTGACCACATACATACATACATACGTGTATATAATAAATATATGAGCAGCACATTCCTATGTAAGAGCTTCTGAACACTTGCGAAGACCAATCTGTATATCGGTGTGTGGATATGTGCTAAACGTAAATATGTAGTATACAATATCCTTGCGAATATTTGTGGCCTTTGGAGTAATCCAATAAGTACTCCTCTGTAGTTAACTGTTGGATAAACTCGCATCTAGCTACCTTTCGGCTGTTAGTCGATGATTCCTCGTGTTTTACCGAACGCAAATACTAAACGAAGTTACAAATACGACATAAGTGTATGGCAAATGAATGGAAATTGAGTCAGATTCGTTTCGTTTTGTTAGTGAGCTCTAATGGTCCATGGGGGATGGAGATAAGTTTGCTCATATGATATATATATTCCAATGCAAGTAGTCAAAACTCGCAATAAATTATTAATTTAATTTTTCTTTTTGATAAATAAACTAAAAATGAAACTAAAAATTATGTCCGATTGTCATTTTTCGTATATACTCCACAATGTAGCCCACTATAGGTACTCCATGGAGTAATTTTCGGTTTCATATCAAAACTATCAGGTGTACAACTTTGCTTCCGCCGTTTTTTCCAAAATTAAAAGCTCTATTGCGAAAAAGTGCTTACAGATATATTATCCAAAGTACTGTTCTTCGCTAGCGACAACTTTCTCCCATCTTTCCGGCAATTTCCAGATCCCGGCTCGAAAAAAGGAGTCCTCTTTTGACGCTATCCATGAAGCAATCCATTTTTCCAATACTTCGAAGGATTGAAAATGTTGATCTGCCAGGCCGTGTGCCATCGAACGGAATAGGTGGAAGTCAGAAGGAGCGACATTTGGGGAATACGGCGGGTGGGGCAAGACTTCCCATTTCAGCGTTTCCAGGTACTTTTTGACCACTTTTACGACGTGAGGCCGAGCATTGTCGTGTTGGAGAATGACTTTGTGATGTCGCTCTTGATATTGTGGCCGCTTTTCTTTTAGCGCGCGACTCAGGCGCATCAGTCGCGTTCGGTAGCGATCTCCTATGATGGTTTCACACGGTTTTAAGAGCTCGTAGTAAAACTTTGAAAGGGTTTTTCTCTTCCACCACGATGTTTGTCTTCGACATCGAAATCACCATTTTTAAAACGTTGAAACCACTCCCGACACATTCTTTCAGTCAGAGCAGCATCGCCGTAAGTTTCTGAGAGCATTCGATGCGCTTCAGCTGCATTTTTTTCGAATTGTAACAGAAAAGTAAAACTTCCCGCAAATGGTGAGAATAAGGCACATAAACGGACATTTTTCGAGCGTGAATAATACGAAAACAAGAACAACTGTCACTGAAACGGCGATGACAATTCGTTAGGCACTGTCCACACTCACTTTAAAGGCATTACCAGCTAAGTATATCAACCAGCCTAAACCGGTACAGCCACCTATCGGAAAACGGCGGAAGCAAAGTTGTACTCCTGAGTGTACTCCATGAATTAGTCAGATGTTATGTATTTATGGCGTATGGGCAATGGTTTTTGGATGACTCCATTGTCCGCGTGGAGTATATATTCCACGCTTGTTAGAAGGAGTAGTTACGTTGTTTTCAGGGAAGTACGTGCTCATTTTTCTCTACTCTACTTTGTATTACATATGATACATACACGCTTACGTATATATGTGCAGGTAAATTATGCGCAGCGCAAGGATGTGTTCGCTATTATTGTGTAAGGACATTAGTGCATATCTTTGTTGCTAAGGATTAAGTTAAGACTAAGGAGCAACAGGTGCAGCATCTTACACACATATTTGTGTGCTGTAAATATAAAAAAGAAGCTGTTTTTATGAAAAGGCATGGAAGTTTTTTTTTAACAAAAATGTTTTTTTTTATTTAAAACAAGTAAAATTTAATCAAATTACCCATCAAATCCCATTAAAAACTCAATTTTTAATTATATTTTGGGATTTATTTTATTTATTTATTTAGTATAATTTCTTTCGTTAAAAGAATTGTTTTTATTTAAATAGGCAATCCCCTTAAAAACTCAATTTTGGAACTAAATTCTGGGAGTTAATTTTCTTATTTATTATAATTAATTATAAAAAATATAAAATCTAGCTACCTGTGCTCTCAGCTCTGTGTGTTAATAAACTAGAGGGGTAAAGAATTTTGAAAAACACAATTTTTTTTTGCTCACAGGGTACCTTTGGGTCCTAGAAATGATATTCAATTGCTTTTAAAGTGAAAAAAAATTCTTTCAGACATTTTTCAAACTGTGCGGACCACCCTATTGCATCGATTTATATGCAATTTTGATGGCAGCTTCACAAACGCATTTTTTTTTTTTTTTTTGAAATTTCGTAGCCATTTTTCGGTTAAATGTTAATTTTTTTCAGTAATTTAGTCAAAAATAAATTTTTTTAAAAATCGCAAAAATTGGTTAAAAAATAAATCCGTACGTACTTCCAAAGGCCATAATTTTTAGATCATAAAATTCTTTGCTTTTCTGTTCTAAGTCTCATCCTTTAGAAGAAATCTGTCCTACCATGGACGTCTTTCAAAAAAAAAAAAGCTATAAAATGGACTTTAGCACCGCCATTTTGTAATTAAAGCATATTTTTTTACGCTTCAATATGTGTGCAATGCAATAATTAAATAGAAATTCTATTCCGTTTCGAATATTCCTATAATAAATTTAAAAAAAAGTTACTTTTTCGAATTACTCTAGAGTGGCTTTGCCCGTTGAATGATAGGTTAAATGAATTATGTCACTCCTTTTGAGTGTAGTTCTGATATGAAATAAAGGCTCCGCCTAAGAACCCATCAGCCATTCGGAGGCGGCTTAGTATAAACTGTAGATCCCTCCATCTTGTTCGAGATCATCAAGACTTGCGTCAAATTGGAGCATGAGCTCGGTCGAAAATCGCCAGTTTTTATAAATGTTTTAAATAATTCCTTTTAAGAAATCGCTAGATTGTTGAAATACTTTTATGCCAAAACTTTTTTTTAGTCTGAGGCAGCTGTTAAAAAAGCGTTCGATGGTTGATGGACCATTGCAAAATTGACAGCGGGCTGCTAGGGTACCGCATATCAGATGTTTGTGTGTAAGTTTGTTGGTTTTGTTGACGAGAGTGAGATGGTCGATAAGGCGGTCTTGGAGACATCAATGTTTATCCGGCTAACGCGGTGATTATAAATATGAAAGTTATTCTGTAGTTTTCTGTTGCAGGAATTTCAATTATTTTCTTTGAATTCATTTTTTTATATTTTTTTGGTCGCTTTTGTTTTATAATATAACTTTTAAGAGCTAAACATAACTAACTCTGGCAGCAAGATTTTTTTAAAGCTAAACAAAGTTTGCCTAAAAGTTAGCTTAGAGTCAAAGATGACACCAAGAATTTTTAAATATTTATTTATTTTATTTTTTTTTTTTATTTATATTATTTTTTTTTTATTTATATTATTTTTTTTTTCAACAGTTATGTGGCCAAGACTTGGATGAAAATGACAGCAATTTTTTTTTTTTTTTTTACAAGATGGGATTATCAGGGTTTTAGAACCCGAAAAAAGGGGTTTTTTAAGCAATTTTTTTTTCGAAAGGAAAGGAAATTTTTGCGGTATACAAAATTTCTAGAAAACAATTTACTATATTTAAGCTTCAAAAAACCATTTTTAGTATCAAAAAATATTGGAATTTTCCAATGCTGTATTGCGTTTTCAGGAACAGCTGCAGTCTGAACTCGTGAAACGGTGCCGGTGATCGCGGTCGTGTTATGTATCCGATGCAGTCGAGCCAAATTTTCTTCGAAAAACTTATGAAATATGAATAATTTGTGAAAGTGAAATATTTCTAGCCTTTCAGAAATCACTCTCTCACACTGTTGCTTCCTCGCTGTTAATACAATTGCGGCTACTTTTAGCGTGTTTTCACCACAACTCAAGCACAGTGACCAACAGAACAGTAATCTTCTCTTTTAAATGCATGACAAAGTGGTTTTTTTGAATTGGTTGAGTTTTGTATTTAAAACCAAAACTCCACAACAGCTGTTTATGGCATACTTTGTTATTGCATGCACAAAAATTAATTGAAAAATTAAATATTTATTTGTGTACGCACACAGAGGAGTGTAAAAAAAATAAACTGAATAAATAAACAATCTAAAGTTCAAGCGCAAACAAACGAAATCGCAAGTGAAATGAATTTATTACAGGCAAATCCTTAAAGGTCCTTTAAATGAAACAGGCAGATGAGAGGGAAAACCGCTTAGGCATTGAAAAATTTGTTCAAATTTTCAGTGTAAACCGGAAAATAACTATATACATATGTATATATACTTTCTCAAATATATGTATGTACACTTGTATATGCACTTTAAAAACTGCGGCATACTTAACCCACACTAACAAAGTAAACGCAAGCGGGCGGAGCTGAAGTTTTAAGTGCATACACACACACACACACACACACACACTTACGCCTACTTTACAACTTGCCGTATTCCTACTAACCTACATATAAATGAAAATATAAACAAACGCCCACACATATGCGGTCACATGGTAGACGCGCATTGTAAATGTGATATAAATATATATTTAGATACATAAAAATAAATAAATATATTATACGCATACATACATATAAAATATGTATATATATATATATATATGTGTGTGTGTGTTCAAAGCCACGTTTTTAACGAAAATACTCAGGTATATGCACATATACATACATATTTACCCATAGCCATTCTTCATTGAGTCATTAAAAAGTTTGTTGAAAGTTACATACATACATACAGACATACATACATACATACAAACATATAAAAGTATAACCAAAACATTGTTGATATGCCGAAGAAGAAGCTGCTGAATCGCCATTTTCATCGTCATACTCCTCCTTCTTGTGCTTATTTTCATAGTAGTAATCACTCAAAGCAGCTGCCGACGACGCGGATAGCAACGTGACCGACCGACCACCTGCTAACTTATTTCTAATTAAATTCCCAAAGGTAGCACATATTATTTGAAAAGAAAGAAATATACCAGTTAAGCAAAATTTACAAAGTTCCGCAGCTGTGGAGCGGTAAGTAACTGAGCAAGAGGTACGGAGAGAGAGAGTGAGGGAGAGAGAGAGAGAGAGATAAATAGAGTGTATGTGTGTGTGTGTGTTTTTATGTGAGCAGAAGAAGAGCGAAAGTGAAATTGTAGCAAGCAAGCATAACCAGCATAGAGGAAGATGCGTTAGCATATGCTCACTTACAACTCCAAATACAGTGCTGGGCGATGAAGTAGAATATTCTTTTTTTCAAGTGACTAACAGTGTGTACTACCATTCGGAAGCTCAGGTATTCTAGTCCTGATCCGACCAATATACAAAATCAAAAAGAAAATTAATTTAAAATAAAAAACTAAATTAATTCTTTTTATTTGTGGCCGCCTCACGGCAGGAAATGACAGCGAGTGTATGGCTGACAAGAAATCCATACATCCATCAGCCGTTCTGAGCCGGCTAGCTTCGCTCTTGCTTGGAAGGCGCTTTGGTGATATGGTAGTCTTATGCTCATATTTATTGAGAGCATCGGAGAATGGATTCCGCAGCTCAGTTTTTCATCGAGCTTTGAGCCGTCATTAAAGTTATAAATGGCTCCCCGATCGTTGGCGTTTGAGTATTCCCATTTATTTCTATTAGGAATTTTGCTGAACAAAAAAGATTTTCGAGGCACATATTGGAGGGTGTGTAATCCACCCTCGGCATTTTATCGTGCTCTATACTGCAGTTCTTTCAAGGTTCGCTTGTAATTTGCCATGCAGGTATAGAGGAAGGAAGTTGAAAATAGTTAGCAGTGTTGCTGTTGCGGGGGAAACACCCGACCATTGAACTCTCTCTGGATACTCCTAAAAGTGTTTCTTAGACGAGACTCTGATTCACTTTCTTTCTCGAAGAGTTTTTATTATGAATTCGAGTGGAATGTTGTTAAAAGCCTCTTCTTTGTCGAGGAACATACCAAGCATGTACTTACTCAAAGCAAGCCATTTTCCATGTCCTCGACTAAATCATATAGTGCATTTTTATACATATTTACTTTTAATAATTTTTAATAAATTTAAACAATTAATTAATATATATAAATTAAAATACATATATATTTAAGTATTTATTTTTTTAATTTTTTACTCATACATTTATTTAAATATTTGTAATAGTCCATTTAATTACATATTTTTCTATTTATTTAAATTTCAATTTATGTATATTTATTTATTTATTTTTAATTTTCTATTTATTTATTTATTTCTCTATTTATTTTTTATTTATTAGCTTTCAAATTTATTTGTTTATATTTATTACTTTTCATATTTTTCTATTTATTTACATTTTAATTTATGTATATTTATTTATTTATCTTTTACTTTTTATTTATATATTCATTTAATCCTTTTCAATATTTATTTATTTATTTCTCTATTTATTTTTTATTTATTAGCTTTCAAATTTATTTGTTTATATTTATTACTTTACTTTTTACTTTTTTATATATTTAAATAATTATTTTTATAATCTATGTTTTTTATTTTTTTATATATTTATATTTTTTTATTTTTTTCATTATTTTTTTATTATTACACTTTTATTTATATATTGCTTTAATTACTTTTAATAATCTTTTTCTTTTTTAATTATTTTTTTTTTAATTTTCAATTTATTTATATTTATTTATTATTTATTTATATATTTTTCTATTTATTTACATTTTAGTTTATGTGTATTTATTTTTTTTTATCTTTTACTTTTTATTTAATCATATTTAATTGTCTATTTATTTATTTATTTCTCTATATTTATTTTTTATTTAATTGCTTTTAAATTTATTTATATTTATTACTTTATTGTTTACTTTTTTAAATATTTAAGTAATTATTTTAATAATCTAATAATTATTTAATTTCTTATATATTTATATTTATTTATTTCTCTTTACTTTTTTATTTATATATTCAACTAAATATTTTAATAACCTATTTATTATTTATTTTTTTTATATATATATATTTATTTATTTATTTTTTACATTTTTATTTATATATTTATCTAATTACTTGTAATTATCTATTTATTTATCTTTCTATTAATTTCTTAATTATTTACTTTTTAATTTATGCATATGTTTTCATATATTTATTTTTAACTTTTTTATTATATATTCAATTAATTATTTTAATAATCAATTTATTATTTATTTTTTTATAATTTATATTTATTTATTTATTTATTTCTTACATTTTTATTTATATATTTATCTAATTACTTGTAATTATCTATTTATTTATCTTTCTATTAATTTCTTGATTATTTACTTTTTAATTTACTTAGATTTGTTTATTTATTTTTTTCTTTTTTAATTTTTTATTTATTTAATTTTTCTTACTTATTTAATTTTTTTTTTATTTTTTTTTATTTTTTTATTATTAACTAATAATAAAAAAAAATATTAATTTTTGATTTTTTTATTTCATTATATGTTTTTTCAATATTTATTTATTTGATTATTTGTTTGTTTATTTTTTGTTCAGTTTTTATTTATTTATTTATTTATCTATTTTTATTATTTATGCATAATTTCTCTTATTTTTAGATTTATTTATTTACTTAATTATTTATTTTTTATTAGTTCGTTTATTCATCTGTTTTTATTTATTATGTACTTATTTTTTAATTTTTTAATTAACTACAAAATATATTTTTTTTATTTGTTTATTTAATAATGTATAATATATTTTAATGTACTATGTATATTTTAAATAGTATATTTTTTCACATTGCCAGCAATGCTTATTTCACTATTTCACTGCACAGCACTATACATATTATTTATATATGTACAGATGAAAAGGGAATTCGCTTGCGTGGGCGTATGTATACAGAACGTCATCAAGTTAAAGTAATAAAAGCAACAATATCGTACTAAAATCGGGAATAGCTCGTAGCAACAATGTCTGAGGAATTTGTGAAAAGGTTAAATTGGTATTTTAGAATGTTGGCAGGTTATTTAAATATTATAAAAGGATGATACTACTGATACTTTCAATTTCATTGAAGTTTCAGTACAAATATATCAAAATTATTTATTGTGAAAATTCTATATTTTAAAGTAAAATAATCGTTTCTCTTTACTCACCTGTATTATTACTCTGAGCCATTTTCACACCAACCGTTTGCTGTAACTTCTTGAATAAAATATCTTCCTTAAAATCCTTTGAATGTAGCAATATACAAAAGGAAGAAGAATCATAAAGCTACATTAATTAATGTTGCACTAAACTCTCAATGTTTATTTTGCCACACACACATTCAGCATACAAACTTCACTTTTATAGATATAATAAAAAATTTAACGCCAAATTACCACTTATCATACACTAAATTGTATGGAGCTCCAGTCAAATATTCTAACACACTCATGCACAACAAGTTCACATGTATATATGTATGAGTTAATTTACAATACTTATAGTAGTAGCAGCAGCCAAATGACAAAAGAAAAAAAGAGTCCTACTACGATTTAACCATAATGTTCACTTTTAACGGAGAAGAAACGTCCGCACACGGAAAACTCAAAAGGAAAACTGCCAACAAATGTCTGCCTATGCGAAGTTAAGAGCTCGTTATGGTGTTTGGATAGACGAATCCAATGCTCCACATCCCCATGCTACCCTCAATTCAAGCGCAATTGCTTACTTAGCTTGACAGTCCGCCAACCCAGCCCACCCTGCGGAAAATGTTGTATGACGATAAACGAAAACGCTAAACGATATGAAACTGTTGCTCTCCTTTTGAGTTACGTATGCGTGCATACAGAGAGATGCTTGCATTGAGTGTACAGAAAAATTTTGTTGTCGGTAACTACTTCCTTTTGAAACTAGTCTCCTTCTTTTTAAAAAGAAGTTTTGAAGTGATCATTAATTAAGGTTTTACTTACCATAATTTATTGCTAAACATATATGCTATAATTTATTGCTTAACATAATTATTTTTTTTTTACATAAAGTACTGTCAACTTTAAGCATTTCACAAATTCTTTTATTATTATTAAAATATATAGAACTTTTAAAAGGAAAGTTGTGACGTACATATGACAGTTTTCTTAAGATAAAATCTGGCAAAACAAAAAATTATGCTTTCTAAGTATTAAATTTGTTAAATAAAAAATGTTAGTAGGCGAAAACTCAACACTGCTGAACATATTTGATCGCCTGCCATAAGTTATTGCTCAACATAATTAATTTTTTTACATAAAATGCTGTCATACTTAAACATTTTACAAAAATTTTAATTATAAAAAATATGCAGAGCTCTTAAAATAAAAGTTATGACGCATGACATTTTTCTTAACATAAAATCTGGCTAAACTTATGCCTGCTGAGCATGAAAAATGTTAACGTATACTGTGGCTAGGCGAAAATGTTTGTGATAAAAGTACATACCAAGCCAAAAATCTTGCTAAGCATAAATTGTCGTTAAAAAAATGTTGTCACTTGTGGCTGCTTGACATAAGACTGGCTAAGCATAAAATATCGCTTGAGATAAAATGTTGCTGAACATAAATTGTCGTTAAAAAAAAATGCATGCAAATGTATATTAATTTTGTATACAAATAATATCCAGTTATAAATTATGGCCAAACAGAATTGATGGCTTAACATAAATTATGGTAAAACATAAAATGTTGTTAAGCGTAAAATGCACATAAGCAAGAAATGTTTGTTAGAAATTCAATTTGAACAATAAATTTCTCAACGCTTAACAATTTCATATAAAATAATTAAATTATCAAAATACCTACACCGCTGTAGTCAACCCATCTAATGCCCTTCTCTCTACCCGTCATTCCCACCCACCAACGGCTACATATCTTATCATTAACCATACATTGTATGGTATAAACCACCTTCACTTTCACTCCTTTTCCTTCACAATCTCGCTCTCTCTCTCTCTCTCGCTCTCAGCTTTTTGCGCTCTTACTAAATACGAATTTGTTGCTTTTGTTTGTTTCAAATCTACCAGATTGTCACTTTCATTTGGGTAGGTTATGTGTAATGTTGGTTTTTATTATACCACCTGTTTACTTTTCTAACTCAAACAAAACTCAAAAGTTCACACTGTAAGTTTCACTCAAACTTACACTCTGCAATCTCATTGCTGGCAAAATTTTCACTGATAACCATCAACTAAATGCATGTTAAAAACAATTATGTATAAAAATTGCTGGGCTTATACGCATCTGAAATTTATTTACATTTTTTTTTTTTTTTTTGTAGGTTCAAATGTTGAACTCGAATTTCCTTCTTCAGCTGAAAAGCACTCAAATCATAATGTCTGTCTCTTGTCGAGCTTAACCAGCCGTATGCGTAATATTTAGTATTTTTGAGTAATTTAAATAATGTTTTTCACAAAAAATCCATTTTACTCACCTTTGAATGCTGACTGGGATAACAATAAATTAGAAATCAAACACAATTTTTGTACTTTCAATATAAACATATATGTATACATATAATCTCATTCACTACTTTGGTAATAATTATTATATTTTATATGTGTCTGTATATAATTTCACTAGATATTTCTAATATGGTATTTTTATAATATTTCTTCATAATAATATTTTGTATATAAATTATATGTAGGTATGTATATATGTATGCCTGTACTAAATTCTACAGTTTTTACTTTTTATTTATTTTTTTTTACTTTGCTTTACAACAAATATTCGTTTTTTTTTTAAATTTCCCTTTTGAAACTCATACTCGTTGCGTATTAATAACATAGGTTTGTATGTATCTACGTATTCGTAAGCAGTAACGCGTTATTTATATTAAATAATAAAAAATTAATAAGTAATTTTTAAAAGAAAATTAACGAAACTTAAACGAAAAATAATTATGAAATAATTAGAAGATATTAAAGAAGGTTTTAGATGTTTTTTTGAGATTAATATAACTAAATTAAATTAAATTAAATTAAATTAAATTAAATTATATTAAATTAAATTAAATTAAACAATTGTTATTACCGTTATAATAATTTTACTTTTTTTACACTTTAAAAAAATATTTTTTTTATTTTTAATATTTTATGTATTTATTTTATTATTTATTATTGTATTTAAAATTTGTATTCAATATTATTTATTATTTTAATGTTTACATATTAATAAACATAATTTAAAAGTTATACAAATAATATAAAGTGATTTAAAAACTATAACTAAATATTTATTAATATCAGTTTAAGCGTGTTGGCTGATATAAAATATTGATTTTTAATTTATTATACAACAAGCGCCATAATAGCAGTTAGGAAATTATTTTTAAATTGAGTTTTTAAATAATTAAATGACAGAAGCATTAAATAAATAAATTAATTTAACTAAATAAGAGAAGAAAAAAAGCAAATCAGAATAATGTTACTTAAGATGTGGCATATTTTAAGGCGCAGTGCCTAAGAAACCTTACAATATTGTTTTCACATGCTACATAAAAATCATTTAAATAAATTTATTGAAACATGAAATATTTTTTCTTTTTTTCTAATACTTTTTCAGGAATTTTATTATTACTTTTTTTTTGAATTTCACTTAAGTTTAAAATTATATCTCTGAATATTTTTTTCAAAAATTAATATTATTATAAATAACAAGCTAATAGCCCTGGTAGCTTGTGCAAAGAAGAATTATTTTGTAATTTTAATTTTATTTAACAATAAAATTAATAACAACAATAATAATAATAATAATAATAATAATAATAATAATAATAATAAATAATAAAAACAAATAAACAAAATATTTTATTAAAATTAATTGCAAATAAAACTTAAAATTTAACTAAACAATAAGTGCATTCTGAGGCGCAAAAACAGTAAGTATGTAATTTTTTCCACCACTCACTGCTACTAAAACACATTTCATATTTACCACATTTAACAAAACTTATTTTTGCACGCTCGACATTTTTACGGCTTAAATAACTTAATGTTTGACACACATTAGCGCATACTACATGCAACATAATTATATATTTTTTTTTAATTTTTTCCTTTTTTTTTGTCAATTTATACATTTTTAATTTTTGTTTATTTTTTCTTCGTATTCATTTTGTTTTTTAATGTTTTTTTAACAATTTCTATGTAAGCATTTTTCAATTTGTCAACAAATAAACATTGCATTTTATAAAAAAGCAACAAAATACATTTACATATGCACAATAATATAACCTGCATATAATTGTTTTGCTATGTATATAGTATATGTATGTATTTATGTATATTCAAGCATTTCCAACAACGTAAATAACAACTACTTCTTTTATGTAACATACAACTAACACTTTTAGCATAGTTTTTTTGTTTTTGTATAATTTATATATATATATATTTATTTTTTTTATCATTTTGGGCTGGTATACAAACATAGGTAAGCACATTTTCGGCTTTCTTTTATTTTCTACTTTTGTTCTTTTTTTTTTGTTTTTTCTTCTTTTTGTTTTTTGTGTGCACTTGTATATAACTATTTACAAATATTTGTTTATATATATATATATATATGCAATTTATTGACAGGAAGCTTAAATTGTGGTATTTTCCCTACACTTTCTACTTCTTCGTCTTCCCCTTTAATTTTCCACTTTATTTGTGATTTTTCTAATTCTTTGGTTAAAACATTGCCATATTCAATATGTTTGCCATAAATAACAACAATTTACTTTTACAAATATAGCATGCACATGCACATATGTAAAGTATAAATGTACATATGTATGCTTGTATGTAGTATGTACAGGTGTTTATATGTGTGCATGGATTTTGTGTACGTATGTATATGTAGTATTTATGTATAGCGTTCTTTGCATTTTTCTATGACTTAGAACATATTAACATTTATATATGTGTATGCATATTTATTTATTTATTTTATTGAACTCAGGTCGCTATGTATTCCACTGTATGAAATTTTTTTTTGTTTTTTGTTTTTTATTAGTTGTATCTTCCTTTACAGGACAACAATACATTCCCAGCCGTTTAGCAATACATTTATTTTTATACAGATTTTAAAATCTGTTTCATATTTGTAGCTCAAACTTATTATTATTGTTGTTTTTTTCTTAACAACAACATTCCAACACATAGCCTTTACATAACTATTTCAATTTATTTGTTATATTTTTAGTTTTCTTTTTACTTGTTTTTTTTTTTTATTTGGTATATAAATATGTTTACATAATTGTGTTTTGTTTTTGTATTTATGCTTGCTGTTTAACTGTTAAGCAAATGAGTATTAATTCGGTATAGGGATGTTAGGATATTTTTTCTTTTGTGGTTATGTTTTCTTTAATATAAAAACCTGTATTTATTTTTGTTGTATAATTTGTATGTATGTACCGCATTTTCTGTATATTATAATTTAATTTTCATTATTATTTAATATTTCTTTTATTTATTTAATATTTATTTTTTATTTATTTATTAATTTTTTTTTTTTAATAATTTTGACTCAAATAAATTGGAAAATAGCAATTACAACATAATATACCACAAATACTATTTGTATTACCTCTCCCCTTTTTGTATTTTTTTTTGTACAATATTTATATGTGTCTACTCTAATAATTACGTCTACGTGTATAAAAGCTTTCAATCGCTACTTCATTAACTTCCTCCGCTACATACTCGTACATACATTGTTAAATATTTATCACTCCAGTTACTTACTGCCGTTATCTGCTGTCTAAAATGCATGCCAACATGCTAACATTGCAACTATTTTTTTTTTTGCTTTGCTATATATGTATGTGTATGTGCATACATATATATGTATTTACTAATGTGTGCAAGTGTCAATTATTATAAATATATTAATTTAGTTGTCTGTTTGCTATTGTTAATTTATGTTTATGTATATTTGTATGTATGTGTGTGTATGTTCAATTTTATTTATTTTCGATTATTGTCTGCAATTGTAAAACGAGACTCCTTGACAATTGCAATATGGATCGGGCATCATGCCGTTCGGCCATTTCTGAAATAAAGAAAATAAGAAAAATTTTAAAATTAATTTTATTCATCTTTTAGACGTAATTCGTTCAAAAACACTGTGCGACAAAAAAAAACAAAAATTCCCATGAAATATAATAAAGGGTTTTCCAATAAGAGATTTTATGTCGAATAGCCTCCTATTCTGGTATATGTGTGTTTTGAAGCTGTAATCATGAAAAATGGTGATTTAGAGTAGCCGCCTCGTTCTCCAGACTTAACTGTACCTGACTTTTTTCTTTTGGGCTATTTAAAAAGCCTGGGCAATGTTATGCAGAATGCACGAAAAAATGCTGCTTTTTGTGTATCGAATAACGGTGGTCATTTAACCGGCTTTGCGTTCTAAAACTGATCCAAAATAAATGGCAAAATATATTCTAAATCAATCTTGCTCACTGGTCAAAATCGGCTGTAAAATATCAGAGTTCCTCAATGTTGAAATACCGAAGGCCTATATGGCGCACCCTGTATACAAAAAAAAAAATTATACTAATCGGAACACCGAGCTAAATTGTTCGTCTGTCTGTCTGTAGTCTGATTGATTTTAAAATTTGAGTTTAAAAATACTTCAAAGATGCAGTCTACACTGAAAGACTCTATCACTTTGGTTTCATACAACGAATTTCAGATTTTCAGTTTTGGGTAAAAAAAAAATTCCGCAAAAAGCATCTAATAGCGAGGCCTCATGAAAGACTTCAACATGGCCGAATAGTATCCTTTTTTTATCGCACAGTGTATGTAGTTATCATCATCGATTTCTCACCATTGAAAAACTTGATGACATCAGTGAAGTCCATGCTATTCGACAGTATTATATCGCGATACGTTTCCAGCAGCGCCAAAGCGAGGAAGAGTACAAAATGACTGGAAGCAACTTGCTTAGCTGCCCATATGACTTCCCAAGTCGCGAAGACATCATCATAAACTAGCTCCCGCTTGAAATCCAACAAAAACCAGCGATAACAGAAATAGAAATGTGTATAATCGCCGTTTGAATCCATTAAATCGTACATCTCTGAGTCCAATATTTGTATGAGCGAACTGAGAGATTGTGAAGAAAAGAAATTGAAATTATTTAAAAAATAATTTTTTTTTAGAATAAAATTTTTCTTCTTCTCTTCCACTCACCGCATATTCGCGAAATGCATATCCATGGCACCGCCATTCGGAAAATTCTCTATCATGCGTTCCATTAGCTTACAAAAACAACTATAGCAGAGAGACTCATCATCAAATATCACGAGCAAGGGCGCAACCAAATCACACATGCCCTGCATATAACCGATATCCAAGTGCTCCCACACATAGCTGGTTTAGAGAGAAAAAAGTTTTATTGAATTTTAAATTATTTATACTCAAATAATATTTAATGCTAAATATGACGATAGAAAATTCCGCACTTACGTCGATATAACATTCCTGAGTTTATCTAGATTCTCATTAGCGAAATACCAATAATTGCGATCGCAACGCTGCACATCCTTCTCTATGCGATGCAAATTCAAACCGAATGACTCTAACAATTCGCTCTGGAAATAGAAAAAAAATAGTAAATATTTTTATTACAAATATTATTATTCATTAAATTGAATTCCCTCCACTACTCACACTATATACACCACCATTACTGCTGGCCGGTGAGACACATGCCGATTTCGGTTCTTGCAACGCATCCAATGAAGCCACCACAGTTATATCCTCGTTCATCGGTGAGATGAGACTCGTCTTACGTGACATCTCCTCGGTGAGTTCATCATCACATTGTAGCGCATCGAATGAGGCCGCTTCGGTGATGATAACCGCATGTGTTGGCATCGATTCGGCATCACGTGTTTGTTCGTCTACAATATCAATGTTGAACTCATCGATTGCACGCCGTAAATCATCAGCGCTATGGAATTTTGTCACTTGTGATAAAGGATCCTCTTCTTGCTCTGTGTCTTCTATAACCGCGCCGAAATTCATTGTCTCCGATTCGGCTACAATATTCATTGGTGTTGCCAGATCGTTAATATCGGTAAACTCATTGCCCACTGTCTCATAGGAGGATGTGGAGGGTGAACTCTTCACACTGAGTAGTAAAATATTACCAGTATGTTCAGGTGTAAGACCCGCTTCGTTGTCTGTGTCGGCAAAACAATTCTCTTGTAGTTGTAGTGGCTCCATTTCTTCAATATTTTCCAATTCCACTACAATATGCTCACTCTGTTCAAGCATTAATACTTCGTTGGTATCATCGTCTGGTTCGTTTTGTTCATTTTCATTCGTTGTATCGGTGAGATCAGTGTGTTCGACTGGTTCGATATCCTCTTCCACATTACCTGAATCGGTTGTGCTACCATTTTTCTGCTTGCCCACTTTGGAAATGGAAGAAACATCCTCTTCATCTTTTTCCATTGGTGTTTCTTCGTCAAAATCTTCACCCGGATCAGACATATCCGAAATATCTTCAAATACATCATTTTCAACCTCTTCATTATCCATTTCATGTTGCCGACAAACTGATTTGCCGGCACGTCGGGACTTCTCTGCCGTTAATTTGGCAACCGCTTTTGCATTTTTCTCCTTCTCACGTTGTCGTACTATCGCCTCTACAGCCAACCATTCACTCATTGTAGTTTCATAGTAATGTTTGCAGGTATCATCGTATTTCTCGCGTTCTTCCGGTGTGGAACCAAAACTGCAGGCAGCAGGAAAATGGGAAATTAATATTTATTAATTGTGTAGCTCTTAAACAAATCCACCTGTAGTGTCCTAAGAGATAGGGCCACACCTCCTTCCGTATCTCATGCTGTACACCACCGAAATATACCAAACGGAAGACTTCCATATCGCTCGTTACAACTCCATCGACTTGCAGCTCTGCCCACTTTTCTTTGGTCAGTCCTTGTTCATCGGCGGTCACTAAAGGGAGAAATGTTATTAAAAGCGTCAAGTACACATGAGCAGAATTCGTTTTCGAGCTACTTACGATCTGGTGTAATACGTCCATTAACCAAACCGGAGAGATGCGTTCGCACGGTGGATAGATGACGACAATAAGCCAACCAGCCATAAAATGCTCGAGATATTATCTGACGGCGCATTGTTGAGCAGACAAGCTCTATGCTGGCAGTTTGGCTTGCTTGGATCTGCGGGAAGGAATAATGGGAAATTAATAATTTGTACCTCGAAAAAATTCAGCTAGCGAAAAGCTCTAAGAACTGAATAATTTCATGTAAGATTTGCTTTAAGGTATTTTGTGTGTAATGGGAAAAATTTTTTTATTAAACAGTTCGTAAGTAAGGTTATGGAGCAGACTCAGTTAACATTATCACATTTCTTTTAAGTAAAACCTTTTAACGAAAGGATTGGAATGAGTCTACAAGGTAAGAGCTATTCACAAGCGAGTGGACTCATGGAAGGTATGAGCAGTTCCTCCTACTGTAGTCGGCGAAGCCAAGAGAGAGAGAGGTGTCAGATAATACGTGAAGTACGTCGGGGTCAAGTCTAGCACAGTATTTAGAACTTGATTATGCTATCTCTATGCGAATCTGGCAAGGCTGATCGAGCTCTTCGTCTGCTATTGGTTCCGAGCACGCCATTTACGGGAAGAGAGTTTATAAAGGTGTTGAAGCACTCTCTGTGGAATTTTAACGCTATCAACTTTAATATTGAGTTCAGGTCAAAGCTCCTTTGTCTAGCTGGAGGATTTCACTCGTTGTAGATGTAGTTAACGTGCAGTGAAGCAGTGGAAAAGGCCCCAGTTATAAAGGTTTACATTCGAGCTTAGGTTATCAATGTTCTAGCACACTATACCCGCTAAGTATAGTTGAGTGAAAACCTCCCAGCAAAGTTTATCCCTTGCTACACTTACCAGTGGTGAATCTCCACCACTCTGCTCCATAGATAAGCTTTTGCTAGAGCAATCACTACTGCCAGTTGTCGAACAGCTACTCAAATGTTTACGCCGTGGACTAGTGCGGCCCAACTCCAGTATGGGATGTGTTGCCACTACGGAAACAAACAAACAAAAAAAACAAATTATTTACAAATATTCACGCCCACACATTGACGAAAGAAAAACTTACAAAACTCTTCATGCTGACTTTTGCTCACAACACGGAAGACATAATCGATAGGTGTCTCATCGGCGGATTCCATCACAGAGGGTAATATACGGCGGCGTACACTCTTTGGCCATGGAAACATTTTCTCAATGCCACGTTGTGACCAAAGCGGTGGATCCAACTGTCCATGTGGCAGCAAACCGGTTTCTAAACAACTAAGAAATGCCTGCATATGACCACCTTCGGGAAAGTGTATCGGTGGTTGTTGTACACCATCTTGGCCAACCAATATTATAGTGCCACCAGTATCTTCACCACGATTCTGATGGCAATGTACATAGACAATCTCATCAACGTTAATGTTGAGCGCATAAGCCCAATAGAAACTTTTATCGGTGCCATCAGCTTCTTGATAACCATTCATCAGCTGATTTGGTGTCCATTTAATAGTAAGGAACTGTACAGTTTGGTGTAGACTCAAATAGCCCGGCATTGGCTCGTTTACGTCCTTCTGTAAAATGGTATAAAGCAAAAATGGTTTATGAAAATATCCAATGGCCAACATCAGCGACTCACCGGTAGTACTAAGACATTATTTTTGCCATATAATAGTGTAGTTTTTGAGTTCTGATGCAATGACTCGACATAGTCCTTGGCGACACTAGCCGGCGAACTCGCTTTATACGAGCCGCTGCTGGTGTCTTCAGAACTGGTATGTAAACTACGCTTGAAATTTATAATGGGACGATGTACTATTGGTGGTGTGCGATTACCAGAGCTAATGCGATGACGTTGAACCTGTTTGGGTGAGTGAGAGAGAGAGAGAGAGAGAGAGAGAGAAGGAATGTAAATATAATATATATATATATAAATATATAATTTCTTTTAAATACACTCACCAGCTCATCAGCATGCGGATCCGACCAGTAATGGTCTGGCGTCTTGGCGCGCGTAAACTCCAACGCACAGGGACCGACTAAGAGTGAACTAAGTATAGAACCATAATCAGGATCGGCGACCAGCGCATCACGATCATAGAAATTGGTAGCATTATTCACCAAATACTCAATAATTTTGGAAAGACGACGCTCATACAGAGCTAAGCGTATCCATAAATATCTACGAAACAAAAATAAATTAATTTAAAAAAAAAATTAAGAAACAAATTCATGCGAAAAACTCACTTAACCACCGAAGTGGCACAGCCGCTAGTTGTAGACGACATCGTATTGATGGTCGTCACCGAATTACTACTGCCCTTATTGAGCAATTTCGGCTTTATAATACTGTCACTGCTGGAAGAGGAACGCTTGCCGGAGACGGTTTGCACTTCATTGACCATTTCGATTTCCAACAAACAACGATTAATATAATCAGCTTCCGGGCAAGTTCTGGCAATCTTCTGTATTAACGCTGTAGTCGAGGAGGTTTTAAATAAACCCAAAGCACGTCGACGCAAACCGTGACTCAGGCAAGCCTCAACAGCGCCACAAAGTGATGTCACCGAACTGCTCTCCTCGTGTATATACTTTTTGGTGACGGCCTCTTCCATCAATTGTTTGACCTCTTTCTTAACGGTGGCGATTAGGCGCTCCTTGAGTTCAAGATCTGAAAGTGTGTTAATGGGTGAAAAGTATGCCAGTTAAATGCTTGCCTGAGCGTAAATAGAATATGGAGAATTCAATATTGATATAACCTTTCATTTTACGCTGTAAAACCGTTATTACAAACATATTTTCAATTCAACTATTTGTTTAAGCGGAGACCCTCTACAGCGCAGCGATATCAATCAGCCGAATGGAATTCCGTTATGAAAAAGGCTAACATCACACAGCTGTATATATTGTATGTATAGGTGCATATGCACACATTCACACAGTCATCTACCCACTATACGTATGTCCTTAGCAATGAAATTTCAGACCAATTATGGTACCTCCGCTGATTGCTGCCATCGATTAATTGGCCACAACCTTAATCCGATTACAATGTGTATGCATACATACATATAAACACAACCGCTAGTCGAGGTTCTTCTTACTCGTACATACATACATATGTTAACACATACAAATGCATAGCTAAACGCATATGTCAATCCTAATCCACATTTGATAATGAATGGCAGCTAATCCTTAAAAATACGAAAACCAAGCAAAGTAAAGCATGTTGTTGTTACCTCGCTGAAAAGGTCAAAGTGCATTGAAGTAATTGAAAAGTCATTGATTTATTTATGTATGTACTAAGCTCTTAAATTCTATACCAAACCTATGAAATACAGTCGAAGTCTTTACAGTCGATGTCCTTCGTCCTTGTGTAGCTGAAACTCTTGGTGAAAGCCATTGGTATGCAGGTGCTGATCTGCGATTCCACCGACTGAGCGGACACTATGTGAATAAGAATGAAATATTTTGATTTTTTACTTAATTTAATCGTGAGATCAAGTTAGCCTCGGGCTCATTGTGTTGAAAGTAACGAACTGAGCCATCAAATAGCGGCGCTTTTCTATAATGAAGACTGCCGACCGACAGACAGCGCACAGCGTCGTAAAGACACTCAATCAAAATTCCAGCAGGAAAAACTATGAGCTCTAATTGTGAGCTGAAACACCCAAAAGGTATGTATGTATATGGATCAAGCCAGGAAGACTTGGAAACACCTAAGAATTTCTCTTTTACCTTCCGGCTTCTGCAAAATATGTTATGTATATATATACGATTGGCGCTTCGCAACCGCTGAAGCAATTTTCGGCCGAGCTCCTCCTACAATTTGTGGTTTTTGCGTCTTGATGTTTTTTTTTGATGATAGAAGGACCTACAGTTTATACAAAGCCGCCTCCGAACGGCTGATGGTTTTTTACGAGACTCTTTATTTCATTTCCAAAAAAACACTTGGAGGTGTTGACATTCCCTGCCCAGGGGCGACCACAATTAGAAAATTTAACTTAATTTTTTATTTAAATTAAATTTCTTCAACTTTTGGATATTGATCGCACGAGGATTTGAACTCGAGCCTTCCGAATGGCCCTCGGCTATCGCAGCCGTATGTTATGTACTTTGCCTAAATCTCCAACGCAGACTCCCTTGACCCAAAGGTGTTACTTTGCACACTCAACTTTCACAGAACAAACTATATAAATGGAAACTAGAATTGGATGTCAGGTCCCACTTGTGTGGACGATGTTGGTTTGCAGCTGTGCTCATGAATATCATAACAGATTCTGCGAAAGGATCTTAGCTTATACGAACTTACAAAATCCAACTTGTGTAAGTAAGCGTCCAACGAAGTATGAGCCCAAAACGAGCTGAACAAAGTTACCGTTTTCTCAAAGGAAAATTTTGTGCGAAGCCCACATTTGGTTGAATGGATATGTTAATAAGCGAAATTGTCACATTTGGCGTGATGGTTATCCACAAGCCGTTGTTGAAACGTCGTAGTGTCCTCAGAGAGTCTCACTGCTTGATGTAATCAATGGACAGAAGGAATCATGGGTTCATATTTCTTCAAAAGTGAGGCATGAGGAGCCCTTTAGAGCTACGATTACTGGCTTTTTCGTGTTTGAATTGCAAGTTGTTCATGTGGACGACCTTTGGTTCCAACGGGATGGCGCTGCATGCCATACAGCCAACGAAAGAATTAATTGATTGAAGAAAATTTTCGGTGAGCGCATATTCTCACGCCGCGAGCCACTCAAACATCGTGCGTTTTAACACCTAAACTGGACTATTTTTAGTGGGGTTAAGAAAAGTTGTTTTTATTCTTTTTGGATTTATATAATTTATCTATATAATTGGTGCGTAGTAACCGCTGAAGTTGTTTTCCATAGGTGGAGGGATCTACAGTTTATACTAAGCCGCCTCCAAACGAGTGAGGATTTTTTTTATGAGGAGAAGCAGGGAATAACCAGCGCGCACAGCTTAAAAATCTAATCTCTTTTCTTAGGTTTCATGGCACATCTTTAGCTGAGTAGTAGTAGTAGTAGTAGTTGACTCAACTTGACAGTCGCATTTTGGTGCGCAGAAAACCTAAGACTTATTATTGCGAAGCCTCTCCATCCTCAACATGTTACTGTTAGGTGCGGTTTATGGTCCGGCAGTGTCAATATACCATACATTTTCGAAAATGTGGCTGTAGCAACAGTTACGGTAAACGGATGGCGCGAACGAGAGATGATTAAAGATTTTTCATGGCCGGAATTGGATTGTGTGGAAAGTGGACAAGGTTTACTTTCAACAAGATAGCGCCACGTGCCACACAAGCGAAGCTGCCATCGATTCTTTAAGGGAAAAGCTTCCGGACTGTGTTATCTCTCGAGGAGGTGACCACAATCGGGCGCAGAGATCTTGTGATTTAACACCTTGCGACTTCCACCTTTGGAGCCACGTGAAAGATAAGGTCTGCGCCAGCGGGTCTATGTCAATGCAAGACCTCGAAGATGAAATTCATAAAGCTATTGAGGGGGAAAAGTAGCCACTTTGCGATTTGGTGTTGGAAATTTTCATAAATATATATATAAGAGACTGGAAGCGTAGCCGTGGCGGTCATTTGACTGATATTGTTTTCCTCTTTACACTGAAATACCCAACCGATCAGTTATCTCAAAGGATTCCATTTTTCTTTGAACACCCAAAAAACACCTTCTTATTGGAGCACCCTGTAGAATGATGAAGTTTGCTTGAGAATCATTGAATTATTCATACTTCAATGTTTCGCCTCTAACATCTATTGGTCACATCTAGCTTACCCTTTATCGAACTCAAAGTGCAGCTGCACTCGCTAGCACATACATATATAAGAGTATGTATGTATATGTACATATGTAGTATATGTTATATCCGTCTATGTATTGTAAACGCAATTAACAAGGCTATTAGTGTTCACGTCTACGCATTTCTACGTACAAATGGAATAAGTTGTTGTTGCTGATGACCATGATGATGGCGATGATGATGTTGATGATGAGGTTGATGTGCAAGCGTTGATGATAACAAATGGAAAATCAATGTCATCAATTAGGTAAAACAAACACACACAATCACAATCGTTCAAAGTCATGCAATTACATACAAACATACATACATATGTACATAAATTTTATCAGCAAATCAACGGGTGGCTTTGGTGGTTTCCTTAAATGCAAGAACATTGATTCGTACAAAAACAAAAAGTGAAGCAAAGAAAAAAGCAAAAATCAATTATATAAAAAGTATATGTATATATATATATATATATGTATATGAGTGTGTGTGTGTGGTATTGGTAAGAAAATACATTAACTTGTGAAGATTGCAGAGTTGGATTTTAATTAGAAGAGAATAAGATATATATATTTCAATGTATGTATGTATGTATGTATGTATGTATGTGTGCATGTGTTCCGCGTAAATGCATTTTTTATGGCGTGACAACTCAGGAAATTAATCTAATCGAATTTTTTACGACCGCATCGTGACTGGATTTTTATTAACTACTTAGGCAATGCTCTCTCTCCTCTACTCTCCTCTCTTTATGCTTTCGTGCTTTTATTTTTTAAATTTACTTTAAGACCTTCTCTCGCACATGTGCCTTCTGCTTCGTCTTCTGCTACTCCATTTGGCGTGGGCTTACGCTTACGTGATTATAGCCGAATCACCAATAACGCTACATTCGGTTCTTCTCTGCGTTGTTCTACGCCAGTTAGAGAGACTAAGTGAAATCAGGTCACTCTAGATCCATCTAACCCTTCCAATGGCGTGGAGGTTTTCCTCTTCCTCTGCCACCACCAGCGGGTATTGCAACGAATACTTTCAAAGCTGGAGCACTTTCATTCGTACGCCACACGGCATACGGCATGGCCTAGCCAGCATAACGAATGTCTCTTCATACGCTGAACTGTATCAATGTCAGCGTAAGACTCGCACAGCTCATCGTCTGTTATTGTCTGTGTTATGCTTAAATTGTTGGCAAAACTTTTCTCTCGAAGACTCTCAGAGCCGCCTCATCGGATGTCGACATCGTCCACCATTTGGCGGAGCGTGAATGATGAGTGACTTGTAGAGTTTGGTTTGAGTTCGTCGAGAAAGGGCTTTATTTTCAGGGAGCTGACAGGCCGATGGGTTAAGTAAAGAGAAAAAAAGTCCATATCAAGGTAAATTCTGCCCGAGTGGTGTGCTTAACTCTTTCCTCGGCAAAATATCAGTAGTATCGACAGCAGATGGCCGGGGAAACACATGCAATATAACCCAGGAGATCTGTCTATTAATCGAAGAGTAGAGAACAAAATCTTTAGCTCTGCTACAAAGGGCCTCCATTGCCTGAGCAGCCGGCGTAATAAGCGAACACTGTATGATGGACTACTTTTCTAATTACTTTTGTGATAGCTGCAAAGTGCAATCGACTGGAAGGAGTCCATTACCACTGCTACTGCCCAGCCCACAATGCGATCCGACATGGTTTTCTTAGCAATTTTTATATCGACTAGCTTTCAGAGCTTGCTTCAGCGTCAAGTGCTAAAAACCTTGAACACCATTTTGTCGTTATGATGAAGGGAAATTTAACTCTCTCTCTCTCTCTCTCTCTCTCGCTCTCTTTCTTAATTTAATATGCTCAAACTGTAACTCCAATAACAGTGATTTGACTGTTTTCGTATGCTTTCAAGCAATAATGTACAAATGTACGCGAATAAAAACAAAAAAAAAAAACAAAAAAAAAGAATTATATAATTAAGAGCATATCGTTAACGACATCAGTGACTCTCATACAACGTCGTGTAATCAAAATGAATTTTGAAAAACTTTTCACATTAATCATAAGCCGGAAGCAGCACGTTCTATTGACTGAATGTAAATTTATTACGTGCTTACACACACATATACATGTATGCATACTCATATTAGCAAGTATAAACCCAAAACACAAAGAGTGAACCTAAAGTTAGAGGTCTGTACTAAGAGGTGTATGCATAAGTACCGCTCAACCACGCCCCCGGATCTTCTGACGAGTTGCTATCGGTGACCTTGCTCTACAAATCCCCTTCTGCTAACCAAAGCAGGGCGCTTCAAAGTGATTGCTGCCTTTAGACAGACGACAACTTAAGAGTTTGACCTGCAGGGAGCAGCTCTTAGTAATGATTAATTGGCAGTTCAATCAAAAATACAACAGCACCTTGCTGCTCTTCAATCCCGGCTTGAAGGCCTTTCGATCATGACCGTTTTCATTTGAAGTTACTATAAGTGAACCACTTTTCATCAACAGCCACCATCCCCTTCAGATATGGGTCGATTTTGTTACGATTCAGCAACAACTCGCAGCTGGGAATGCAGTCCATGAGGTTTTTTCTCGGTAACTGATGTCACACCCATACATCGAGTTTCTTAATGTATCCAACAACCAATGAAGGGGTAGCCGAAGCAGGTCTTCTGTGTGTGTATTTATTGACGTTCTCAAGGCCTGGGACTTCTTAACGGCTCACTTTGGTGCGAATATGGCTTTATTGCGTGAGAAATTTCCCGGCGGTGTAATCACTTGTCTTTGCGTTGTCAATTAACCACCGAGATCGTGTGATTTGACACCGTTGGACCTTTTTTTTTTGTGGCTACGCAAATGACCGTGTTTTTGTGTATAAATTTTACATTTTGAACACTTGAAAACCAACATTCTTCAAGTTTTGACTAAGGTACCGCCCAATATGCATCCAAAAGTGGTTGAAAATTTTCTTCAAACGCATCGAAGTTTGCCAAAATTCCCGGGGCGGCCATTTGAGTGATGTAGTGTTTCACATATGTATAATGTCAAGGCTCAAAATTAAATAAATAAATTAAATATAATAAATTAAAAATTTCATTAAAAAAAAATTTAAAAAGCATTATATTTACGTTTATTTTCGAAACCGCAAAACGGATAACCCTGTATATAGAGATACATAAATATAATATATATTGTTTATACTTATAGAGGCATATATGCATGTATGTATGTAAATATTTTGTTTTGTTATGCACTTATATACATACATACATACATACATACATACATACATACATACATACATACATACCTACACACACACGAGTATGTCCATAGGTACATAAAAACAATTTAACCTTGACTTTCAGCTAGAGATGCTATTAAACTCCCTTGAATTTTAACCTAGCCCAAGCAAAAACAACAAACTAAATAAATAAAACGAAAAATAAAAGGTCATAAGGCAGTCATCAGTAGTCACCAATGACAAAACTAAGTAAATAATAAATATGTAATGTATGTTTGTATATGTTACATATATTCATATATGTACATATGTATGTGTGTATGTATGTATACAAATATTGTACATGCGCATCATATACTCACTAAAAAAAACACAAACAAAAAAAAGTAGGTGCGAGTTATTTACTACAATACATAGTATTTTTATATGTATATATACACATACACGTATATGCTCATAGTATGCACATAAATAGTTGAGTAGGTGTGTGTGTGTGCGTGTGTGTGTGAAAACACAACTTAACCGGTTACCTTATGTATGCTACTACATATAACTACCCCCAACCCCACGATCTGCGTGTGAATTTCTCCACCCAACCACCGCAGTAAGTAATCATGCGTACTCACGTCGCATGTAGTACTATATGGCGAATGTATACAGAAATAACAACAACAAAAACAAACAAAACACGCAATACAAACTGATAAACAGTGATTCCAACATCATCAACAACGACCGCTGACTCGTTGACTAAGTGTGTTGTTGGTGGTCAATTATTATTATTATTATTTTTATTTTTAAGTATTAAATTAATAAAGTTCATTATTCGCGTCTACCTACATACGTACACATACTTCAAAGTTTAAACTTTTATTGCTTTTAAATTTCATTGCCACTATCAGCTACTTTAACCCATCGAGGATACACAATAAAAGCAGCTGATTTTGTTTGAGGTAGGTTTCACCTTTTGTTGTTGTTTGGTTTGTTTTGCAAAACTTTGCGGAGGTGCAGCAAATCTTAATTCTTCTTATTTTCATTTTTATTTAATTTTTTATTTAATTTTTTATTTAATTTTTTATTTAATTTTTTTCAACTTTTTATGTGTTCTTATTTTATTTTTTTTCATTTTTTCATTTTTTTTTCAATTATTTTATTTTGGCAAATTTTTGTTCTAACTACATAAAATTTAAATATTTGGTTTTTGTTGCAAAACTTTGGGAAGGTGTAGCAAATATTAATTCTTCTTATTTTAATTTTTTTTAATTAATTTTTTTTTTAACTATTTATGTGTTTTTTTATATTTTTTTTATTTTATTTTAATTTTTCAATTTTTTTTTTAATATTTGTTCTCTATTTAAGTTTTTTTTTTCTTTTATATTTTTATTTTTCTCTTATTTTTTTTATTTTTATTTTTTAATTTATTTTTATTTTATTATTATTGTAAATTTTTTCTCTAATTACATTAAATTTAGGTAACTACATAAAAGTTAATATTTCGGTTGATGTACTAAATGCTTGCTACCGACTATACATACATACATTGACTACATTTTTGCCCTAATTTTTTTTTAATATGTGATGTGCTTTTATTTTGTTTTTATTTTATTTTAATTTTTTTTTATTTTATTTTAATTTTTTTTTATTTTTATTTTAAAATTTCTTTTTTAATTTTTTTATTATTTTCTTATATTAATTAATTTTTTTTTTCTCTAATAACATTACATCCAAGTTTTTCTATTTTTTTTTTTATTTTTTTCTTACATTCTTTTATTATTCTCTTATTTTTTTATTTTTATTTTTTAATTTATTTTTATTTTATTATTATTGTTAATTTTTTCTCTAATTACATTAAATTTAGGTAACTACATAAAAGTTAATATTTCGGTTGATGTACTAAATGCTTGCTACCGACTATACATACATCCATTGACTACATTTTTGCCCCAATTTTTTTTTTAATTTTTTATGTGTTTTTATTCTTTTTTATTTTTTTTTTATTATGTTTTAATTTTTTTTTTTATTTTAAATTTCTTTTTTAATTTTTTTATAATTTTCTTATATATTTTAATTTATTTTTTTTCTCTAATAACATTAAATTTAAGTTTTTTTTACTTTTTTATCTTTTTCTTACATTCTTTTATTTTTCTCTTATTTTTTTTATTTTTATTTTTTAATTATTTTTTTTATTTTTATTGCAAATTTTTTCTCTAATTACATTAAATTTAGGTAACTACATAAAAGTTAATATTTCGGTTGCTGTACTAAGTGCTATACATACATACATTGACTACTTTTTACCCTAAACATTATGATATATGATATGTAAATGCAACAATTTAAATATTAATGTATTTTTTTTAATAAATCAAATATCCTCTATATTCTTAAGTGTGAGTGGAACTGTAAATCCTTAACCTCACTGTCTGATTATAAACAAAATATAAGCTCATATAGTATAAAATAAAAAATTCCTTACGAATAGCATACAAAATATTTAATTTTTCACAGTAGAAAATGGAAGCACCTACTCATTTTGCATATAAATATATGTATGAGGAAATACTCACAAAACCCCAACACGTATTTCCTTTGGAATACATATTATCACTTCAATTTCTTCAGCTCTAATACTTTAATTTTTTTCTAGATATCACAACACACTCGTTTAAGTACATAAAGGAGCATTATTTGTCTTATATATTTTTCCAATTAGACTTGAATATATAGTATTTTTTTTTGTAGTTACATATAAGCTTATGTATGTATGTAGCCAAGAATACAATAAATTATTATTTTTTTTTGTTTCATTTCTTTTTTTATTTTTTTTTTAATTTTTTTTTTCATTTTTTTTTATTTTTTTATATTATTTTTCTTTTTATTTTATTTTTCATTTTTTTTAACTTAGTAAGATTGCATTTTTCTTTCCAGTCATGCTCGAAATTTTGTTGAACAACAAAGGTTGAATAAATAAAAACAAGAAAAAAAAGTAATAATTAAATGGGCAAAACAATATACATAAAAGAAAGTAGTGAAAACGTAAATACTGAAAACGGTGGTGGGCCAAAATATCAGCAACTTGTCAACAACGATGTTTGTATAACTGTAAGTATGTACATATGACATTTGAAATTTTTGTCTGCATATTTAAAAGGAAACGAAGCGAAAATGGCCGAAGGATAACGCGCGACAGTAAATACTACAACCTATTTACATTTATCTACTCCACACTTACAGATACTAGTTTCTTACTACATATGCTACACACCACATTTACAATGTATTTCCGCAATATTTTCTTGTGTTTTTTTTTTTTTTTTTTTTTTGCAATTTTCTTCTTTACACCAAATTGTGTACTTACCACCAGAATCGCCACCGTGCGCACCTCCCCCACCGCCACCGCTGCCACTGAACGTATGTAACATATTCATGTGTACAAAAATTTTTACGAATTTTTCCAAACGCTTTTCTAATTAGCAAAAGATCTGCTGCGCTGCTTTCGTGTGTGTTTCGTGTTTGTTGTTGTCCTTGTGGTTGGCTTGACCGCTTTCTCAACACTTCATATTCTTGAATATTGTGTTGGTAGGTATGTTTTTTATTTCAGCTTGTTTATAACTGCGTTGAAGCGTTTAAAGCGTTTAAAGCGTGTAATTATCAAAAGATGTAAGGAAAATATGTATTTTCGTTGTTCGTTGTACTTTAAACCATCGACCATAAATGGAGATTGTTATCAATTCGTTTCTTACATATATGCTTTAAATTCATCTGAGGAATGTGTTCGTGTGTACATGTTTGTTCGGCAGCTTTCGCACTATACGATTCCAAACTTTTTTTCACCGTTTTTAATACATATGTGACTTTAAGTTTCCGCTTCTCATTCTTTTCCCATTTGCCTTACAATTGCTGTTTAATTAAATTAGAATTTTCAATACATATTTCCATTTGATTTCATTATCCTCTCACAATTTCGGTTATAAGTGATGATTTTGTTTACCAAAATTATTTCGATTTATCACAGCTTTCTGTTTTTACTTCGCTAATGCTGTCACCATTGTTTCTTTTCTATTATTTCTATATATATCTGTATGTATATTAGTGTGAAAAAAAATGCCAGACCGTAGGCAAGGATATACATATGCCGTTATTGGTGAAACCCTTTTTGGTCGACAAACTTCGTCTGAATGAGCATACCACTGACGATTAGACTATTGCTTGTATGTTCTGCTTTTTGGAACAACAATGCGCAATTAGGGTTGCTTTTTCTGTGCCAACCATAACGAATTAAATTTTATTTAGGCAAATTTTGAATTACAAAAATGAATTTCCGCTCTGAAAGTTTCCGCTCATTGAACGTTTGTGATCTCTACTTGCTATTTCCTGAAATTGAATTTAAAAATAAAGCATAATTTTAGGCGTCTTTTTTATTCTATAACGTCGAATTTCCAAAATGTTGCCAGACCACGCGATTAAAGTTCTTTTACTGCGAGATCGCATATACAACTCTGCCAAGGCGGTATTTATGGCTAATTCACATAAGACAAACCTCGTATTGCTTGACATATAAATGCTGACTACAGAGCATGGGAAACAAAGGGTAGGCAACAAAGAATGTGTTAACTTTGTAAAAAAAAAAAATTATTTTTGAAATTCTTTGTTTAAGAACATTGTAAAATATAATTCATTACCAATAGTAAAACTGGAGTTTCACTCTTTCAATTGGGATCGAAAAACTATTTCGCATTAATTCGAACAGAGATGGCATGCGGAAATCGTGTGACAATGGTGAGCGTATGGTTAAATGGATTACATTCCATCAATAGCTTTACATTGAATAGGAAATATGCTATTTCCTTGTATTTCAGAGAATCGAAGAACCTCATTTTTCGGAGTATGGCTTTCATAAGGAGAGCTGTGCTGAGCTGGATTATACTTGGATAGTCAGTTAAGCTATAAATCATATCAAAATCGCTAGTCTTTGCAGAATAATAACAAAAAATTAATAAATGTTTCTTAGATTATGTTTGAAATGGTGGACCTTATGAAACTTATAACGAAAAAGCGAATAAGGGTCGAAACTCCTTATGCTTTTATGGAAGCTAATCCATGACCTTGTCCGATTTGAAAGCGATCGGAGACATTCTTGCTTGATTCAAATTTTCAAAATTGAATTTTCAAAATTATTTAATTCTTCATTACAACACAAAACTTGCTTAAAGGGATCGCAATCGGGATCAGTCTCCTCAATCTAAGCGAAGAAAGTAAACCTCAAATAAAGGAATTCCCTTTTTCTGTGTTCCATTTAATTGTAAATTATCAATTAAATATATTTTGTTAAATATATACACACAAAAGCACATAAGCTTTTTCAAAAAACTTGTAGGGGGCTAAATTAATCAAAGTATCGTATCGTGTGCACCCGTCTGCAAAAAAGCTTTTCGTTTTCGTTTCGCGCGCTTGTGTCATATCAGGCAGCTGTTAATAGAAATTTGTGCTTTTGAAATTCTTCATTCTTTTGCAATTATTCGAATAGATTAAACGTCGATTCGTGTAACTCGGTGAGGTGTACATATTGTTTTGTGATTCGCCTTCCGTATAAACACAAGTACGTTTTCCGCGTTCGAGTAGATACTTTTTTGCTGCCGGTAAAAGTAATTATCTGATATTTTCTTCAACCAAAGTTTCACTGTAAGTAACCACGGATATATTATATACTAACAAAATTGATTTTCTGAAATGCTGAAATAAGAACATCAAAATGGCCTTTGGACCAATTTTTTTGCATTCGTTAATTAATTTACAAGAGCTCGTATTATGTAAAGATTTTGGTTAACCGATATTCAACATTTATATACCAGCATTGGAGTTTAATTGAATTTACTTAGTTCTAGAAATATCTTGGAAATGGTTGTTCATGTACACATGGTTAGTGTTTAGCGTGTTTCAATGTCGTGCGTCGTCAGCGGCCGGGTTCGTTTAAGTCTCCCCTACCGTTTTGCCGTTTTAATGCCCTTCGAAGTAATTTACCAACTATCAATTCACATAGTCGTTTTTTTCCTAATCATTTGCGTTGCTAAATTTTTGCCACTTCGTGAACTTTTGCACAGCGTAAGTACCTATCAGCTCGATTTCCTGAACTGCTGATTCACTGCAGATTGTGAAAGGCGAATTAAATATAAAACCGGTTTGAATTCAAATATTTATTGTACTGACTAGGTTGTAAAGGTAAAATTTAGCAGAGTTGGGTCAGGTAGATGTTCATTTGAACTAAGAGGAGCATTGTTACAGATATAATATATATATATATATAGATATATATATGTATATATGTGTGTGTATATATGTTAATATATGTATATGCATGCACATACATTCAAACAGATATATTAAAAGCAATGTATGTTACGTTGATTTTAACAGTTTATAAACTTTATTATCTTTACATAGATGTGGAAAATCCAGAAGCCCGCACCCCATTTCAAGGGAACCGCTGTCGTTAATGGCACTTTCAAAGATATCGATTTGAATGACTTCAAGGGCAAATATCTAGTTGTGTTCTTCTACCCACTGGATTTCACATTTGTCTGCCCCACCGAAATCATTGCCTTTTCGGATCGCGTTTCTGAATTCCGCAACATTGGCTGTGAAGTTGTTGCCTGCTCAACTGACAGTCACTTCACACATTTGGCTTGGATCAACACACCACGCAAACAAGGTGGTCTCGGTGATTTATCGATCCCATTGTTGGCTGACAAATCGATGAAGATTGCACGCGACTACGGTGTGTTGGACGAAGAAACCGGTATTCCATTCCGTGGTCTTTTTGTCATTGACAAAAATCAAAATCTACGTCAAGTCACCATCAACGACTTGCCAGTTGGACGTAGTGTCGATGAAACTTTGCGTTTGGTTCAGGCATTCCAATTCACCGACGAGCACGGTGAAGTTTGCCCAGCTAACTGGAAACCCGGCGAGAAGACCATGATTGCTGATCCCAAGAAGTCAAAGGAGTACTTTGCACTTGCCTCTTAAACAGTTTAATATAATTTGTGAAGAAAAAGCTGTGAAGTGAATTTGCTCAAAACAAAAAAAAAAAATTGAAGAAAAGAAAAGAATTTTAAATTACATATTTGTTGTATTAGCAACGACTCCGGAAGTTGTGCATTAAAAAATAAATTACAAGGAAAAAAAAGATATTGATTCGAATTAAAATTGCAAATTAAGAGACAGATCAGCATTAATACACACAAAATATATACTATTCATACAAGTAAAAAAAATGCACTTAAAGTGCGCTATAATGAGGCAACATTTTTCTATTAGCTCTTAGTTTTTATATATACATATGTACACTTGTATGTGCGTGTATCTAACAAATTGTTGATTTGTACGATTTTGGTTTTATATGCCAAGAACGAGCGCAGAGAATTTTTGTTCATTTGAAATTCAATAAATGTATGTATTTGAAGAGTATTTAATAAATCTACAGAAATAAATGTAAGAACAGAATTTAAAACCATAATCTCTCTCTCTGCTATATCACAACAAATACAATACCACAGCAAAAACATAATAATTTAAAAGAAGCGTTAGTTTTATTTAATACCGAAAACTGAAAATTTGAAGAAAGATCTGTTTATTGGGATATTTCCAGCTTTTGGTAAGTTTACTACTTTTTTTTTTTAAACTTTGCACCCGAAAGCAAAGCCAACATGTCCAGCAGCCGCTAATCAGCATAATTGCCGGGAGGAACGTGTATGCTGATAAGTTTTCTAAAGATAATATTTTACTACGATTATTGAAAACAAAAAAAGTAAAATAAGGAAGTGCAAATATTTTTATTCAGCTAATTATATTTTTTACTATAGTTATATGGTATTAAAATAAACATTTTAAAGCACATATGGTAATTACAACTAATGAAAAATACTTATGGAACCATTCTTCAAACTATTTGTAAAAAAAAGCTTTTAATTTCGAAATATTTACGATGTTGTACACCTTATCGCCGTTGCATACACGACTGTATAATTATGATAAAGGTGTTAAGTAAGTGTACGCCGTGATAAGATAATTCAGCCTGGACTGACATTTGTTGTATCGCTTTGGCAGGTAGAGGAAATCACATATAACGCATGTTTTTGCACATGCATGAAGATAGCTAAGTAGCCGTTTTAAACTAGATTCCGAGACAACAAGCATGTAGACATATATGTATGTACCAATAACAGTATCATTACGAATCGCAGGTTACCGGCCGGCGTTTGTTGGTCGGCTGCTTTCAATTTTTGCCGTTTTCAAGAATGTTGGCTGGGGAGGGGCGGCTATCCAAATACCGTATGCAACAAGCACTTGTGCAAATATACATATGTACATGTGTAATACGTGTTCTTTCTGCATTCCTTTTAATTGTTTTTCTACCACTTTTTTGCTTTGAATTGCCGTAAACGAATTTTCCGCAAGCAATTTCATTTTCAATGTGAAGTACAAAAAACCTGTATTAAACGATTGAAGTGGTTCTAGATCAACAAATATTGGCAAACGCAAGTGCAAGTGGCGTTACCACTAATGTTTAAAGGCAAATGTGGGTTTTTGTATGTATGTTTGTTAATTTATGCACTACAGCCCGACTAGCTATTTTTTATACCTCCCAGCAGCTAGCAGGTAAATGCTTTTACATACACACATACCAATGGGGCATATAAGTTTTAATTTATAATTTATGCTTGAATTATCAATTACGTGCATAATTTTGTACGTGCGTACGTATACTGTTCATGATTGTGAAATTATACTTATGTACACCAGCTCCTGGAAATTGATGGGCCAAGTTCTGATGCAATAAAAGAAAACACATTTGCAATGCAGTGATTCAGTTTATTTTTATTCGACGTTGAAGCACTCCAGCGTTCTAAGCAAATAATTAACTACACACTTACATACATATGAACATAATATACATATGTATAATCTCTCTTGATAGTTACGCTCACTAACTCACATACATATGTTTTTTTATCAAAATCTTAAAGCTTAACTCATTGCACAAAAGCCTCAACTGAATATACATATATACATATGTACATATGTATGCGTCAATGTATCGCAATGATAATTAAAATGAAATGAATTATTAAAATCAATTTGATTTATGCAATAAAAATCTACGGGGATTTGGACAACAATAAAAAAGTAAGTCATGAAAACTCTTACGAACTCGCGAGTTGCTGAATTCCAATATTTTAATGACGTTCATGCATTAGATTATGATGTTTAATAAGATCTTTATTTATTATTTTCTTATTGTATTGTATTAGTGCATGTAATCAAAAGGTCATTAGGCTTTTAATATAATTAAAACAAAATACAAGTACATACACATACACATATATCAACAAAATAGTTTGGAATCTTTGAAAAAGTGCTGATATTCTGAAAGTGCTTATTCATAGCAGTTTTATGTATGTACATGTATACGTAGCGTTTACCCCCACTTAGGAACAGACCAGGAAACGAACTGTTTCTACACTTTCGGAGCAATGGAAGAGGCTGCTTAGATGTGTCGGTTTTAAGAAGCATTTAAAGGGGTGGTGTGTGTCGTAAGGGGACTCATTACATGCTGGACATACGTTAAGTAGCTTAAGACAGCTCGAGCTCTTCATCTCCTATGAGTGGTGCTTTGACCTCGAGAATGGCATTCACAGTGAGTGAGTTTTTGAACTCGTTAACTGACTCTTGGTGAACAGCGTTAAGTGCTTGTTTTTACGGCGTCCTGTCTAGGGTTTGTTGTGCCTGTTGATAAGTAGAGTCCTTTAAGTCGGGTACTCCTTACTGATTTCGGCTTTGGCTTCCAATAAATATCTGTTGGGGTGCTTTCCCAGCATCAGCATGCTTATTCCGTCGGGCCGATGGCTTTCGCTTTACCGATGACCTCCTGATACTCTTCCCTGGAGAAATCAAGTGTCGTCCTGGTGCTCGGTAGTTTGCGCAGACAGCGTGCCAGAATTTATTACCAATATCTTAGTGGAGTTTCTTCATTGATATAGCCGTTTGTCCTAAAATGCTAACGTAAATACCCAGTCCTCTTATATCTTACATATAATTTGTTCATTTCTTAAAGCTTAGAAATACTTTATTATGCTTTAAGCCAATCGGAAAAAAATTTTATATTTTGAGAACCAACAATGAAGAGGGTAGAAGTAAGTAAAAATTAACATCAGTTATTTCAAAGGTCTAAAAGTAAATAATTCTTCTAAAAAAGTGGCGACGTCATTCCCTGCTGGCAAACAGTTAAAAACAATTTGTGCGGATATTGACATTTGCATGTTTGGTACAAGAAGAATTGCATATTTTTAGGCGCTCATATACGTTGGCACCTATTTACTGTGACTTTTAACATTTTTGGAAATTAAATTGTCTACGTTTTTAATGTACGACAACGAAAAAACACAATTTTACTTTGTTTATGTGTGGACAAATTCAAAATTGTTTTTGAACAGATGAATAAGTTCTCCTCAATACAATTTACACACTGAAGTTCATCATAAATGGTATAAAAATACATTAATAACTCACAGGAAGCACTACCAATTTAAGAATTGTTCAGAATTAGTTAAATAAAGAAACGAAGAGCTCCTATGCATAATTTCAACATTAACTGGGTAAGCACTAAAATTTATCATAAGAAAACATATGTGATAACTTAACTTTCAAATTGTTTACTGTATCTTGTTACGCCCAACACACACTTCCATTTTAAAAACTACTAATGCAATTTCACTAGCAAAATTCCGCAAATCTCCATTAACACATTTATAATAAAACATTTATAATTAAAACAATTTCCTTCTTAATTTTTTTCTATTCTTTATTCTCTTCTACGCACAATTACTGCAATTGTATTTTTAGTGACTTTTTATCATTCTATTTTTGTAAAAAATAATATAAACACTGCTTTCACAGCTGCAATAGCTTATATACACCAACAAATGTGTAAAAACTCTGCGCACCGCTGCTTAGAAGAAGAATCCAAGAATTTTACCTCCCAAATGCTTCCGTCTGGCCTCTTCGTGATCCATGATTCCGCCAGATGTGGTCAGCACAACATAACCGAACTGACGTGACGGCAACAAGTTGTTTGTCCACTTTTCAATATCATTGATGGGGACATCAAAGCGGGGCGAGATGACGCCACATTTGTTCAAGCGACCGGTCAAATTTACCACAATTTTACCGGAACGATGATCATCGACAATTTCGAATTCACCGATGTAGCCGTGCTTCATCATGACAGTGAGGAATTTGACAATCACCTTGGAGCAGGGACGCAGGAGAACTTGACGCTTACCACGCTTCTCAGCGTTGTTAATGCATTTTAAGGCATCAGCCAATACGTTCATTCGCACCATGGCTGTAAAACAAGAAAAAAAAAATACTCTTAAGAAACAGTACAAACTTGGGGAAATAGTAATAATAGTTCGATTTCTCAAGTGCTGTAGAAAAGTAACAAATCGATGTTGTCGGCATATAGCATAGGTTTAGATTTCAACTAGGCAGCAAATGGTAAACTTTCATTGATAGCCACGCAATCAGCATGCCCAGCGTACGCAATTCCACATTTCAAAATTTGATATTCTGGAACCCAAAGCCGAAATTCAATAGTTTTGTTGCTGCTTCAACGCAAATAGTAACAATTTCAACATTGCGAAGCTCCACATACTCAATCCAATTTCATATATAGATTTTGCTTTAGTAATTACAATTACATATCGTTTGTTTGATGGTAAATAAATTCATTGACAGCGAACGTTTCGTCAATTTCTCATTTTAGTTAATTTCATTTCACTATATGCAACGAAATATATACAATGAAGCCAAAGGGTTAGGAAAATAAACATTTCCGGTAAATATATACACTTTTCCACAACACTTGGTAAAGTTTACGGAAGTTTTCATGTGATTTTTTACTAAGATTACCTAAGATTTATTTTGTTGAATTTTTTGACAAATTCACCCGAACGCGAACGTATCGAAAAAGAGGAAGTCCATATTGCTTAAGTTGTCAGGTATGGTTTTTTGACAGCTGTCATTTACTTTCAAAGTTGCCAGATCAACTTCTATCAACAGAGGGGTACGGAAAAAGATTTCGTGAAACATAAAAGAGAAAATCCAGTTAAAAACAATTTCAAATAATATAAAATAACTCCAAATTTATTCAAAATTAACCTAGACACATTGGTTGTCTCTTCACTCGATCTTAACCCAAAAAATATTATTGTAACAAGACTGTGTTTGCCAAATGTTTTCAAAATTTTAAGTTTTGTTGATCTAAAAACAAACATATTATAAATATTTCAGTATCCATTTCACAATTAAAAAGGTATATATCTGTTAAAAAAATGCACGCCTGTTCAAACGTTTTTCAACTTAATTTATACCAATTTAAAAATAAGTTATAATGTGTGCCTGAAAGACTCAGAATAGCGAACATTAAGGCAAATTGTAATTGTCTCTTTATACATATATGAGTAATTCAAAAATAGTGCTTTAAATAATTACAGTAAAATCATAACTAAATTACATTAAAACATTGATTGTTCTTCTGTATCGGCCTATTTATGTAACAACATTTGTAAACTCCTTTATGAAAACACCAAAGAGAATCTTGATTTTTAGTTATCCGAGTAGCCCTGTTCAGCTGCTTACAGACCTCTGGCGGCAATTTAAATGCAATGTTGACAATCAGATGTTTCGTTAGCAATATTATATCCCTGACAAATTAGAAATTTTATACGTACATATTTTCTGTGACTTTGTTGCTACTTATTATTGAGAAAATTTTCTAGTTTCCCATACATATCAAGTGAAAAACGAATCTAATAGGTAAAATAAAGATATATTTATTATTGATAGTTATTTTGACCTTTAATCACTTGTAAAAATATGTGTAGGAAAAGCAGTTGACAAATATTTGATACCGTCAGCGATTGCAGACGTCTGCTGAAAGCTACCAACAACTAACACAAATAATGAATTACCAAACAAAATATAAATTTCTAATTTTGCAAGCGCTATTTATTGCGCTAGTTGCAGGCAGAAAACATCATTTAGAAGTGCGAGTAAGTAAATATAAGATAGCGTATGAATGCTGGCATATATGTATGTAGAAACGATAAATAATTTTAAATATGCCATTTAACAATTTCAGCACGACGTTCGACCTTATATTGCCTTAAGTACATTTGGCTTTTACGTTGGTGGACATCTAGATGTGGAGTTAAGTAAATTAAATATAGAAAATGAGGACAGTAGTGATTTGGTAAGATGTCATTTGCAAAGTTGCGTTTGAACAAAAATTTTATTTTCACAATTTGAATTTTTTTAGTATGGTTTAACGTTGGACAAAACAACTATAGATCAATTAAATCCATACTTAGACTCACACCAAAACAAATGTATACTAGAGGAGCCCGCAGAAATGCAGCGCAGTGGTCCAATCTTAATTTTCTTGTTCGACTTGAAGAATCTAAAGTAATTTCATATTATAAAACTTCCAAAAGTTATGTATAAAATTTTTTAAACTCCCAATTTTTCAGCATTAAAGTAAAATGCTCACCCGAATGGAAGAATCAACACATTGTTCACAATCATGAAGATTTGCCCATGTATCGCGGCAAACGTCACTCAAAATTAAGCGACTCCACATTATTTCTACATCGACGCAAACGAAGTGAAGTTGCTGCTGATGGTCCACCCGCAGCTCCACAAGGCGAAGAAGATGAAATACCCTTAGAGGAACGTGAAGCTATTGACGAGGATGACTCAGTTGAAGTACCACAAATAATTGTAAAATCATCCTCACCCTTACCACCAGTTAACGCACCCGCATCAGCCAAATCGGTTATACCTGTAGTGCCTGCAAAGCTCGCAGCAGCTCCTACGCAGGCAGCGGCAGCTTCGGAAATGAAGGAATCAGCAAATGTTGCGCCAGCTGAAAACCCATTGCCACATGAGGCCGAGAAAGTGGCACCAACGCTTACGCAAATTAATTTCTATGATAATATGCAATATGAGCTTTGCAGAAACTACACAATGCCGTTGACAAAGAAGATAATAGACGGCAAAGTTTATTATAATATGTCTGTATGTAATATGTGATAAATCATTATGTAAATCAATAAGCACTAGCAATATTTATTGCAGTTCTCAATGCTTGTGGCGACATTACATGACGAGGGTCTCTATAATCTACATTTCCACGCCTGTCCCAATTACGATTACAAAACGCCCAAACAGATTTCTTTTATTGTAAGTTTGTTTTGAAGATATTTAATTTATTATTAAAGATATGTAACATTAATATTTGCAGGTCGATATAAAAGAGAAAAATGATGATAATTTCCTTTCCGCCGGTGAAATGCCTCTACCCGCGCTGTATTCAATGATGAGCGTACTTTTCTGCCTATCCGGTCTCTTTTGGGTGTTCATACTGAGGAAGAGCAAGTGCGTAATGTTATTATCAGCGTTAGTTTGCTGAATTTTATTAATTTAAAATATTTCATTCATTTTCCAGGCACGTTGTCCATAAGCTACACTACATTATGGCGGTATTGGTATTCCTAAAATCGCTCTCACTTATGTTTCACTCAATTAATTACCATTTTATTGAAATACGTGGTGAACATGTGGAAGCTTGGGCTATTTTGTATTACATTACGCATTTGTAAGTGTGAGAAAATGTGTACATACACACATATATATTTAATATTACTTTATTTTAGGCTCAAAGGCTCTGTATTGTTCATCACCATAGTACTCATGGGCACAGGCTGGACATTTATTAAGCCCATACTTTCGGATAAGGATAAGAAAATCTTTATGATTGTTATACCACTACAGGTAAATAAGCAATATACGGCTCTTAATTGCATTATTAAACACCCCTCTTATCCATAAGGTGCTCGCTAACGTCGCTGAAATCATTATCGACGAATCGGAAGAGAGTGATATTGAGTTCCGCACTTGGCGTAATATCTTCATTTTCGTCGATCTTCTCTGCTGCGGTGCCATACTCTTCCCAATTGTCTGGTCAATACGGCATTTGCATGAGGCATCAGCCACCGATGGCAAAGCAGCGATTAATTTACGTAAACTCAAACTATTCCGGCAATTCTATATAATGATTGTTTGCTATATTTATTTCACACGCATAATTGTGTATTTGCTCAAGATGACAGTTGCATTCCAATATGCTTGGCTGGATGAGATGTTCCATGAAATGGCCACATATGTTTTCTTCGTATTAACGGCATATAAATTCCGACCAACTTCATCACATCCCTACTTCTCGGTGCGTGATGACGATGATGATGAAGTGGAAGTGCTGATAGCATCTGGTCTAACTGAGGGTTTACATCGCACGAAAGTGTTCAATCGTAATGCATTACCACCAGCTGGATCTACTTTACTTAAGACCACCGCTGAAGAGCGTGAAAACTTAATAACGAAACGTGAATCTAGTCATGAATATGATTAGAGGTTAGATTGAGCATATGTATGTATGTATTGGCGAAGTAAAAAAAAAAAAAATACGACTGGAGGTATGAAGTGTGGTGAAAAAGCGTATTTTGTTGAATCAATATCTTTGCACTAAATGTACATATGTATGTATGTATGTTGTCTGTGTGGAATGTCTTAAGCAAATTTTTTTTTATTAATATATTTTTTTTGATTGTTTGCTATAAATAAGAAACACAGGCAACTTAGACATGCATTGGCAGTTTGTGTAAACTATGCACTGCCTTAAATATACATATGTATATAATAATTATAAATATTATTTTAGAGAATTTTTATAAATGATTTATGAAGAATGCAATTATGTAATAAACGTTATATTTTACAAAATTATTTATTTTTTCCTATCATAATTTGTTTTTAAGAATTTCTTACAGTGCCAAGAAGAAGAGAATAAATTAAACATTCTAAAATTTTTGTTCAGACAAAATTAAAAAAAAGAGAAAAAATAAATAAATAAAAAAAAAATAAAATAAAAATAAAATAAAAATAAAATAAAAATAAAAAAAATAAAAAAATAAAAAATTAAAAAATTAAAAAAAAATATAAAAAAAATAAAAAAATAAAAATAAAAAATAAAAAAAAATAAAAATAAAAAAAATAAAAATAAAAAAAATAAAAAAAGAAAAAAAATTAAAGAGCACCTCCAAGCTTTAAAAATCTCAAAAGAAAAATATATCAAATAATTATTAAAATTAACATCTTTTATTAGCAAAATTTAGTGTTTTCAAAAATTCGCTTTTCTTTGTATTTTATTTTATATATATGCTCGTACATATATATAGCTTTTGAAACACACGCAAATGCTTCTTCTACCCATACATATATCGAAACTTTATACCTTTATATATACATACATACTATAATTAAGGCGTTTAATCGTGTACTTTTCGTATTAGTATGTAGTGGAAAAAAAGTATGTAATAATTTGTCGTTATTTTAAGTAAAATTTAAATTAAGATTTGCAAATGTCGTAGTATTTGAAATTTGCACCGTAAAATATCCATGTAAATAAGATGTTAAGTTCATGTTTCCTTCTCCAGCTGATTGACTTACATATATGTATACATACATACATATGCATGTGTGTATGCATTTCGTTGAATTTATAAATTTTTAAATTTCGGCATAAATTGTATAAAGAACACCATGTACGTTGTAATCGAACCCAAAATCTGTAATTTAAAAATTTATGTGCCTATAAATAATAATTAATTATGTACTAGATTATGAAAATGCAAAACACATACATTCGATAAATAATGGTTTTGGTAAAAAATCGTTTTGAATATACACATATATAAATATATATATATATATTTTTTTTTTTCTATTCTTAAGTTGCATATTGTGAGTATTTGTATGTATTTTAGCATGTGCTTTTTGGTATATTTTTTGTAGCTTAGACTTACACTAACTAACATTTTACCATCCAAAGCCGATATACCCAAGCCATCAATACGTATTTTCTGATGTAAAATTTGTAGTGAGAAATTTTGTATCTGCAAATAAATAAAAACCACTTTAATACACACAAAAAAAAATTAAATAAAGAATTAATCAGAGAAAAAAATAAAATTAAAAAAAAAATTTAATTTAAAAAAAAAATTTAATTTAAAAAAATTTAAAAATTATATTAAAAAAAAATAAAAAAAAAAAATAAAAAAAAATTAAAAAAAAAAATTAAAAAAAAAAATATTAAAAAAATTTAAAATANAAAATTAAAAAAAAATTTAAAAAAAATAAAAAAAAAAATAAAAAAAACTAGAGATTTTCATGAAAATTTATAAACATTATAGACTTTCACAAAATTACTAAAGTCCAGTAATATGGTAGTTAAGTAGACCACCCAGGCACATCAGAGAGGGGTAACTTGACCTCGAGCACTACATTCAGCACCACCTACAACAACCGCAGGACAGGACAGGACAGCTTAAATACGGTGCTGAAGGCACTGCCGTGGAAGCTGGGGGAGCGTTTAGTCGCTGGCAGCATGGACCCACATAACTAGTGATCCACTCACTGTGGGTCTTAAGGCCTGAGCAGGTCTTAAGGTGACTCCAACTATTGCACTGGTTGCACCTAACCGAGGTGGAGGAGTGGTGGAGTTTTTAATGACATACAGATTTGGAGCAACCCAGCCTAAAGGTGTTGTTCCGTTTGCTATCTTAAACTAATGTTAGATATTTACCTAAACGTGGTTAGACTGCTCTTGGGCGCATAAAATCAACCGGCTCAACTCCGGTGCATAAAACCGGCTATTGTTAGAGTTGCTCCAGTTAGTTGACCACGGGAACTTAGATTAACTACAATAACAGCAGCGACTACTTACCAACTCTCTTCTAGTGAATGGCGCATTCGGGATCAAACCACCGCCTATTACAGTCGAAAAGCTCGAGCTGTCTCGAGAGTACCGTGTAATGCTAGCGCAAGTTCGATCTGGATATTGTAGTAGATTAAATTTCTACTTATCCCCCGACATACCTAGCGAATGTCCCGCATGCAAAAAGTCCCCGCACGACACTAACCACTTCTTTGCATGTCCGCTAAAACCAACTCGTCTAAGAAAGAGGAGGGTCTTTAGTCCGAACCCGTCGAAACAGCTCGTATGCTGGACTTCCCGTTAGATGACATCGGCGACTTTAATTAACTAGCCTGTCCCTAAGCGGAGTTGGAAATGCCGCCACACCAACAATAACAGATGAAGAGTTCGAGCGAACTCGTAGGAAATTAAACTACTAACTATCCAGATTGGACCTTGCGTGCAATGAGTCGCCCCAAGACATCAACTACCTTTTTGTACAATATATCCCCTAAAATCAATCAATCTAAAACGGGTCCCTGCCCGTCGAAACAGCTAGTATGCTGTTAGATGACTTCCACATTGATAAGGTCCAATCAGTTTGTTGACGATAGACTTGAACCTTTCACATCTTATATAGAATATTGAGGTGGCTTATCTCAGGGCATTTCGCGCGGATTGTCGGGTCCTCTTTTAATGCATTAGGCATTGGGCAGAGTACATTTAGGATCCGATTCTCCGACCTTATACGCTACCTTGGCTGTTAATAATCAGCTGCTTCTGCTTCTTTTTACAGAACGGGTGGGTTATTTCTACAGATGTAACGGTCCCTTATAAGAAATACAGACGGACATTATTTTTTCCTCAAAGCAGTTTTTGGTGAATGTTACGGGAGCGCCAGTCCTTGGCCGAATAAAAGTCTGTGTTGTTCCCAAGGACTCGACTGCCGCGTGGACTATTGGATTTCAGGCGCCTCTTACAGCTGACATGTCTTATCGCGGATAAATTCTTGCGCCCTAAGCCGCAGTGGGGGTCGTCAATTTAATTTAGCTCTCGAGAATTTGAGAAAACAGAGGCAAAAACTGAACGATTTGATATTCATAAATACCTGAATCGATATAAGTGAGTTATCCACGGAGCTCCGTATATTATGCAGCTCAAATGCTATGAATTTGACCTAAGGACACATCGTTATTAAATTATATTCATTAACAATATGAGAATTGCAATTCACCTCATTCATGCACTTTTGTGATGTAAGCAAAAGCGATGGGATCTCCAAGTAGGCGGGCAGCATTAGCAGATTTTCTATGAGAAATTAAGATAATTTCGACATTACTTTAATGTAACTCAAGATGATTCTAGGTTAATAAGTCCATTACAAGCATGTGAATTTGATAAAGTACATTTAACCTCAAAAAATGAAGCTCTCAGGAGAGAAAAGCTTTTGCACGACTTCAAATATCTACACTAAACTCATTAAGCCCACACTTTTTCTGGCGGAAAGAAGATCAGCAGTGACTAAAGATTAACATTTTTTAAATACCCAAAAATCGCCAACCGACTGCATCGTTGAAGAACATAAAGTAGGTGTCGACGACCACACGCACATAGATCATCAGCAGCACGGCCATGGTGGACACACTGAAGGCGCGCTGAAAAAAATAGAGCATTTCGTAGATATGCTGGAACACCAACTGTTTTTCGGCCAACTTTTGACGTACGAAACTCTCGAAACCCACAAAAGGCACCACACGACGTGCAAATCGCGTGTACTCGGCCAGCAGTGCAATGTCGTTGCGTAGCTTTTCGAGTTCGTGTCGTATAACATCGATATGCAGTATGATCTGCATATTCCGCCAGTGGGCCATATACACATATGGTGTAAACATAAACCAGAATCTCATCACAATCATGGTATCCTCTCCAGCCGGACGCATGGCATGAAATAATATCTCGATTATTATGTCAAATATTGTAATGCCATAGAAAATACATAAAAATCGACGATATGTACACAACTGCAGCGGCCAATGAGGTTTAGGTGTTGTTAACTTCTCTGCTACTTCTGCTTTTTGATTTAACAACGCGTAAAGTTGCCAAAAGTTGCGCAGCGCATAGCGACCCAACACCGTTTCCGTGTAGATGATGAACACCGTTATTTGTGCAATGCACACTTTCAGCATATCGTTGAAATAGCCGAAACGATTGCCGGTGAAGAGGAATGCATCGGGACATAAAATGGTATTCACAGTTGTCATGCTGAAAATGAGCAACAGCAGAAATGTCCAAACCACCAGACGTTGTTCGACGATCCGCTGTTGCGTTGGTTGTGTGCTCAGCGAGGCATCGAAACAACCGATTACTTGAAAGAAACGTATATGAAAACGCAGAACGGATGGAACTTGTATGGACATTGTGAGGCAATGCTCCTAACTGCGGCGTGGTGTAGTGGCAAGTCGCATACGAACAAGTACGAGTACGCGCAGTTTGTCAATTAAACGTAGGATGTCGATGCATGATAACGGTTTGTAAATGAGCGAAGCGACGAAGAAGAGGTACTAGATTGATTTATGCGATAATTGTGCACTAAATACATTACATATAAACACAATTATTAAAGTAGCACACAACGTAGCCATACATATATAGTGACGCAAATATATGTATGCATAAACAAGTGTGCATTGATGTGATGTAACCAACGATGGGAGGTCCACAAGTTTGTGGTATGGTATGTTGTCCACCTCCTGAGTGTTCTTGGAAATTTTTAATCTTATTCTTCTTCTTCTTCCTTCCTGGCGTACACACCGCTTACGCCATTCTAGTCGAATTCATAATATTGCGCCATTCATTTCATTTTTTTTTCACTGCTTGGCGCCGAATGGATATTTCAAGTTCAGCCAGGTCTTTCCAATGGTGTGGAGGTCTTACACTTCCTCTGCTTCCACCGACGGATACTGCATCGTAAGCTAGGGTATTCTTATCCATCCCTACCACATGACCTAGCCAGCGCAGCCACTGTTTCTTGATTCGTTGCACTATGCCAATATCGCCGTATATCTCATACAGCTCATCCGTCCATCGGCTGCGGCATTCGCCGTTCCCAACTCGTAGAGGACCATAAATCTTACGCAAAACCTTTCTCTCGAAAAATCCTAACGCCGACTCATCAGTTGTTGTCGTCGTCCATGCCTCCGCAACATATAGCAGGACGGGAACAATGAGCGAATTGTAGAGCTTGGTTATAGCTCTTCGGGTGAGGACTTTACTTTTCAATTCCAAACTCAGTCCAAAGTAGCAACTGTTGGCAGGCGTGATTCTCCGTTGGATTTCCAGGCTAACATTGTTGTTGATGTCAATACTGGTTCCAAGATAGACGAAATTATCTACGACTTCAAAATTATGACAGTTAACAGTGATGTGGGAGACGAATGCGTTGTCTGTTGAATTGACGATAGAAGATATTTCGTCTAGCCATCGCTCACTATCAGACCCATATCCTTCCCTTTTCTATCCAAACTAGAGAAAGCAGAACTCACGTCGCGATTTTTGAGGCCATTGATGTCAATATCATTGGCGTACGCCAGCAGCTGTATGCTCTTATTGAAGATTGTACCTACTCTGTTCAGCTCTGCAGCTCGTTTTTTTCTCTCTAGAAAAAGTTAAAAAAAGTCACATGATAAGGAATTATCCTGTCTGAAACCAAATTTGGTATTGAACGGCTCGGAGAGGTTCTTCTCAATCATGGCGAAGCTTTTGTGTGGATACCAAATTCAGAAATAGCGGCGTAGAGGCTGCTCCTTTTCATGCTGTCGAAGACTGCTTTACAGTCTACAAAGAGTAGGCTTATCCTACGGTAGATTGTGCATTTTGTGGGGTCCTCTTTTTTATGGATCGGGCATAGAACACTTAAATTCCAATCGTCGGGCCATGTTTGAAAAGCTCTACCGGCATGATGCCAGCTCCGGCTCTTATTAACTCTCTTTTTATATTTGGAGACTGAAAACAGCCTAAAGCCACCTTTGAAACTTAGCATTATTCAATTGTCTTTTTTATGCTCTTCTAGTTTCTATTATAGCCTTTAGCAACACTCCTCTTGAGAACAAGAAAATCTAATCAATTTCAGTTTCCGATCTGTATGCAGAGCTGTGTTAGATCGATCGGTTCAAGACTTACAAAGAGATGGTTAGTGTCGTGCGGCAGCTACTTCTGGGCAGGACATACATTGGTACGATACTAACTTACATAGGACGAAGTAGCTAACCTCAAAAGGATGCCCCATGAACACATAAGACAAGTCCGGAAGGCGGATGTAGCAACTGCTTCGAATTGGTAAATAGTTCATGAAAAGGTGCATAGATGATTCCATATTTTATTCAGATAACTACCAGAGTGGAGATCAGGTTAAAGCCCGAAGCTCTACAGTGTTGTAAATTCGAAGCGAATAATATTCGGTCAGAAATCTCGCCGCCGACTTGATAGCAGAAACCAGTGCCAGAACAACCTTGCATGGATCTGAAAGCCAAAACCAACTGCTGGTAAGACAATTCTAGATGAGAAGTCTCCCTCCACGCTTCGACTCTTTCGTGAAGAGGTTAAAGTATGAAGCAAGTTACTTGAGTACTCAAACTCTTTATCTCTGCACTAATATAGAGTTGGCATTGCAGGGAGTGCTTTCTCTTACTTAAGGTGAGTTACCGAGTAAAAGCCGTGTAGGGCTCGGGAGGTGAACTTCAGAAAGACATCCAGCTTTAAACATTGCCTCGTCCGTTACGCCAGGTAGACCATGCTGAATGGGTGTTCTTTTCAATGGACTTACTATATTTTAATTTTTACTTTCTTCGGTGATTTTGACCATAGTTTGGACTTACTTTCTTATTGACTAGAGAGTCTCAGGCGAGATAGGTAGAAAATTGACCGTATAAAACTAAAAAATGCGTCTCTACCCTCACAACATCTCTTCACTACACTAAATTTTAGTTCTCCCAACGTACCATGTACCTATACAAAGTTAAATTTTGAAATTAGCTCTTGAAAATATAACCTCAAAATAAGTTTTTTTTCAGTATAGAGAGCATATACTCTTTACTACCTATAAACTCCGGCTCCTTCTTTTGATGGTACGTATAGAGTATGAAGTAGGCATCCACCACCAAGCGTGTGTAAGTCATCAGTAGTACGGCAATCGTTGAGACGCCGAAGGACTGTTGAAAGTAATAATACATTTCATAGATACGTTGAAAGGTCAACTGCTTTTCGGCCAACTTTTGACGCACAAACGATTCGAAGCCCACAAATGGCGCAACGCGACGTGAAAATCGTGTATAATCCGCCAGTAGGGCAACATCTTTGCGTAGCTTCTCCAATTCATGTCTTATAATGGCAATGTGGAAAATGATTTCCATATTCCGTAAATGCACCATGTACGTGTAGGGTGTGAACATGGCCAAAAATTGTAATAAATGTTCGTTTTCCTCACGTAAGTTGTAGTAGATAATTTGCAGTATCAAATCAAATACCGTTATGCCATAAAAAATATAGATAAATAAATTGTAAGCACGTATTTGTGTACGCCAATCACTCTCCTCAGCAGGCAGATATTTTTCATTTTTGCTTAGCTCCACATTTAGCATAGCAAATCTTTGCCAGAAATTACGTAGCGCATGACGACGAGCAATGGTCTCCAGATAGATAATCGTGACGGCCACATGGGCCATGCACACCTTCAGGGCATCAACGAAATAACCGAAACTTTCACTTGTGAAAAGAAATGCCGACGGATGTACGAAGGTATTCACAATGGTTAAGGTGAAGATTAGTAAGATTAGAACGGTCCATGCCACTAAACGTTGTTCGGCGAGTCTTTGCTCTCTCGGCTGGGTATGCAAGGAAACGTCGAAACAACCGATCAATTGAAATAAACGAATATGAAAACGCACAACCGAAGGAACTTGTAAGCTCATGTCGAAGCTTTGGGTGCAACTGAATTAACTACCTGTGATGATTGCAATTGACTGGACATCAGTCAGGCAGATTAATTGGTGAGATTAATTAAAAATGCACTTCATATGAAAGAAAGTATAAAGAATTGCGAATTATCTGATGTCTAAAATACGATTACTGCACTTAAGTTTAATTGGTGGTCAATTGGTAGTGGACGTTCAAGGAAACGATGGGAAATTTGCACTAGACGTCTTGCAAACTTGTATTAAATTTTTTTTATCTATAAATATTATGGGTATCCTATTAGTGTGATTTCAACGTGGGAGAGTAGTGAATTGAGAGACCTATGAGCCCAGAGTCCCCAGAAGACACTATTCTCACTCCAAGTCAGAAGATGATCTAAAGTGCTTTCGGTGGTACCAAACGCAGTACACCGGTAGCTTCAGCAGTAAATACAGCGGGTACGCGATAAGGCATGCTTATCGTAAGAGGCAACTAAAATCCTAAGCTTCCCGCGACAGTGAAGTCTTGTTCTTTTTTTTTTAGTGACCACTTGGCTCGCTTCAAAAAGTTGTGGTCTTCACCCAATACCATAGGAGATACCGAATGCTGCGCAGACGCCAATCGTTTACTCAGGGGGCATGAATGGAAAGACGAAAACAGATCAGTTAATTAGATATCTGAGTTGAACCTTACGAAGGTTTAAACCGGAACGACACGGAATTTTATTCGACTAACCACTGTCACTCCCGAAACATTCCACAAAATCTATTTTGGCGAATATTTTCGCGATTATAACAACAATAGCACAGACACACAGCCAAGCATGGCAAAAGTTGCCAGCTTCCAGTAAGCCACTGAGGAAAAAGCGAGAGAAATCCCTTAATGAAGGGCGAAAAAGTCAGTACCAGAAGCCGGTCTTCATTTTTGAGAAGATTGCCAAAAATCAGACGGCTGGCATTTCACTTCATTGAGAAGAAGTAAAACGCTAACAAATCGTGAAGTACTACGAAGGCAGTATCAAGACACTTTAGTTGCCTGGCTAGAGACAACCTGGCAGTAATGGACGCTTACTCTTGGGGAGAGATCGACGGCAAGTCACTTACCGATTTTGTTTGCTACACATGAAGAATCAAGATACCTTGATGAAGAATGATAACAAAATCAACTTCGGCATCACGTTTTGGGCTAGAGTTTGGGTGGAAGGTCTGGATTTAATGCTGTCAACAAAGAGTGACAGCCTAGTCGGCGGATCATTTCTGGATTGTCTTATTTTGCGAATACCACAAAATATCCAAAAATATTATGAAGAAAGTCTTACGAAGATTACAGTTATGAACATAAGTCGGAGCTCATGCTTTTGACACGGAAGACTACAATACTGGTATTACAATCCCTCTCTTCTCTACCGCAAAACATGTGGGGGTTGAGTTCAACACTAAACTGAATAGGAGCCATTATGTCATGTCCGACGACAACGGTTTGATAGCATCAAAGACTCCGAAAAAATGTCCTGCCTGCGAAATGGAGACAGAGTGCACTCAAAACCTACCGTACTTACCAAATTCAGCTGCGATCTTTGGTACTCGTTATTGAAAAGCCTGCAGAGCGGTAGTGAATAAAACAGCAAGGCAAAACAGTAATGTAATGGGATATTCATGGAGTATTGCGGGCCGTATCGTCGTTAGTGCTAAAGAAATTAGAGTTTCAAAATTGACATCTACCGGAATAACAGACGCTTTGCAAACATTGAAGAGATTTTCGGCACTCATCCAATAATTTGTGGTGGTGATTGTTATTGTAACCGCAAAAATATTCGCCAAAGTCCTTTTTGGTGAATATTGCGGGAGTGACAGTCTTTGGCCGGATAAAAATCCGAGTCGTTCCGGTATAAAAACCAGACTGCCACGGGAACTATTGGATTTTAGTCGCCTCTTACGACAGGCATGCCTTACCGCGGGTAAATTCTTGAGCCCCTAATCCACAGGGGGGTTTGTGGCTTTGCCTCATGATGTTCTTCAATAAATGAAGGCAACTAAAGTTTATTCGAAGTCGCCTCCGATGGGCTTTTATGAAGAGCTTTTATTTCAAGTCAGAAATAGACTCGGGGTGCTTGACATTCCCTGCCGGGTGGCGCTCATAAATAAAAAATTTGATTTGGATGTTAGTGGAATTAATATTAGTGTGCAATGTCAACTAGTCGGCTATTGCGGCGGAATGAGTTCAAATTGTTGCAGATCTTGGTTTTGAAGAGTTTGAGGCAAAAGCTTTGTGCATTCCAACAATTATCCTGCCAATTAGCAGCAAATCTTTGAAACTATATTTCCTTCTAAATTTTGATAAAACACTGCTTGACAAATCCACTCACTTCATAGAAAGATATCTTATTATTTATACCTTAAAAGTTTCAAACGGAAGCTCACTTGGCAATGACTAAACTTCATTTATTCCTTTCAGTGAGATTTCAACTGTTTCTCTGCGAAACGCACACCTGCCGCGAGCAAAAAATCAACAAATCAACATTCAAATAAATATTAAAACAGTACAGTTCACTTCAGCCCACCCCCTCCCCCACCTATAGCGTCGCACTTCGCGCAGCTCGGCTATCAGTGACTGTGGCAATTATTCAGTTTGTGTCAGGAAAACGTGATTAGAATCATGGACACACTTCGTGGCGACTGTGCAAGTGGAACAATTAAATTAATGGAATTGCGAAATATATTTTATTTCATATAAATAAAAACAAGTAACCCAAGTTCGTATCGACTATGGGTATTGCAAATCACTTAGTCGCTAATAGTTATAAATCAAAGACACACACGTACGGTGAACTGGTCTACACTAAGTGGCACGGGTTAAAAGTGGCATATGCAAATATGTGGCAACGAAAGATTAAAAGCATGCAGCCGCAGTTGCAGTCGCAATCGCAGTCGCAGTCGCACTCACAGCTACAACCGGTGTCATTGGATACCTTCACCTTGTTGCAACTACGCCTATTTCAGCTGCTTGGTCTGTGCTCTGTGCCGCTGCAATCACAAGCTGACCTCGCCATGGCCAACCCACGCCCACCAACTACCATTAGTGGCTTATGACAACAGAGGTGCCTCCTGATTTGGCATTATTTACATGTAATATTCTTTTTCCTAGTACACTTGTGGACAAGCGTCAATCACGATTCGATACTCTATAATAGCGATAGTTTTGGCATATTTAATGATCTTCTCAAATTCATAGCAACAATTATTTCACATTTCATCATACTTAGTGAAACGATAATACAAAGGCAATATATGGAGCAATTCCTTCTCGCCTACACACGGCTACATAACAAATGGAGTTCACATACATTTCGCCCGGAATACGCCATTTATCGTAAATACGTTTGGAGGAGTAGCATCTGCATTGTCATAGTGATCATCATCGATTTGGCTTACATTCAGGAGATCTCCAAGAACCGTTCATGGTTGGCCTTCTTTATACCTTTCGTACCCAGTGGTCTCATTTGTCATCTCCGTTCGTTGCAAATTATGTACTTCATGGATATGTTGCGCATCGAAGTGATGCAATTGAATAGGAATGTGGAGCGTCTGGTGACATTCAGCGAACGCCATTGTGTAGAGAACTCTCAGCGGAGTGAGTATTTTGTGCGCATAGTATGTGCTGAGCTGCAGATCCTAATGGAATGCTATCAGAATATATACGAATTGTCAATGCTATTGAAAAAGGCCGTGGGTATATCATTAACTTGCAACTATATCAAAGAGTACGTGATGATTTTATCCGAATGTTATTGGTCTTATTGGATGGTTTACAATGGACAGGACGTTATTGGTAAGGATTTTAGGATGATATATTTAAAATTAGTATTATACATATGTAACGAACGGCTTGTATGGTATTCGGTGAGGAATTATGCTATTAGTGCGGCTCGAGAATTTTTTAAAATTTGTCTCCCTGCTACTACATTGGCGAGGTGAATACTTAAAAGAAAGAGCCATGTACACTCAGTATGCAGTTAGTGCTTTCCAAAGCGGGTTAGAAGCTTAAAAATTTACCCGTGTTAAAGCATGCCCGTCTTAAGAGGTGACTACAATCCAAAAGTATCCGCGATAATCGGTTCTTTATACCGGAACGACTCGAACTTAATTTTTCTTTATTGGCCAAAGACCAACAACAATAACATAGTATATTCTAAAGCCACAAGACTCAGCTCTTCGCGCCATCATTTTTTCCACGTGGAGGATCTGTATGTTCTTTATATGTCGATAAGTAACGATCTCTACTTGGTGTAGATGGCAAATTTCAATTCAACTTCAGTTCTCGCAACTTTTTGTCTTCTAAAACTCTATCGGGCATAGGTCGCTGAAGTTATGCTAAATAGAATGATTCAATTCAACCTCACATTCATAAAACGCATTGCGACTGCTGATAAGACTTGGGCTTAGGAGTTCCATGTGTAAAGCAATAAACAAGTTTTCAAATGGCGTCTTCCAAACGATGTCTGCCAACAGAGCTGAATCCGACAAAAAACGTCAAAGTCGAGACAAAATATTGACAATTTTAACTGTTTTTTTATCGCAATATTGTCTCAATACTTGCCGTAAGCCCAGACGATAAGTAAGGAATGTCATCTGAGTATCTGTTCGGCTTTTAAGAGAGCGAATTCGTAGAAGAGCCAAATTTATAGGAAAGATCTCGCGAATTTTACGCCATCCCATCTTTAAAGATTATTATTGTTAACGAATTTCTGGCTAAAAATTCAACGCACATCCTCGAACAGCCAGCAGATTGAGCACTGAGTTCAGCAAAAAATCTATTAAGACGGTCTATAGCGTCATTTTTCGAAACTTCTTTAAAGCTAGGAATTCTTTCTCCCAGCTGTTGAGTCGTTCAAAAATATTTCAGAGTGTAGAAGTGAGAGTAGAGATCACATCAGTTAGTCAGTTCTTAGTTTTGGCAGTAACTTTTTACCTTCCAATTCTTGAGTTTAAAAACACCGACAAGTATAATGTCTAAAACATACATATATTTCATATTTTCAGCCATAAGTGGAATACGTTTTTTCTTCTTTTTTCTTCTTTCAGAATACTCTTTGATGACCCCATCCGCGTTGACCATCTTTCTCTTATTAATCACATCACGAAATTGTATGCGTTCCGTAAGTGAATGGTTGTAAATTAAACACTTGAACAACAGCACAATTTTTCTTCTTCTTCTTCTTCTTCTTCTTTTTCTCATTTAATAGACAAATTTCCTCGCTCACAATGTGCATAAAATCCGTCATGACGTTGAAGATCTAAACATTTCAACTCGTGTAAGTTTTCGCCTGGCGTGAAACAGTCCACTTTGCCTCGAGCTATTCAATGTACAATTACAGAAAATAATTAATAAAGAAAGTTTAACATTTTCAGCTACAAAGTTTTGCTTTGCAAATATCACATCAGCGGATCATCATGGATGGCTTTGGTTTCTTCGTGCTGAATTGTAATATGGCAAGAGATGTAAGTGAAGATAGAAATAGATAGAAAAAATGAATGTAAGCTGTATGTAAATATACTCGTACATTTGTATTTACATTCACAACTTCATTAATAAAAAAAAAATTAAAATTATTTACCACTCACTCTATATCCACTTCTTTCCAGATACTAGGTTCAATAGCCACTTATATGATCTTCTTCATACAATTTATGCCTAAATTCAAAACTTTTTGAGCCTACAAAGAAAGGCGGACTGCACGACTAAATAAGCTTTCGAATAAAAAAAAAAAACAGAATAAAATAGAGTCGAAAACAAAAAAAATGGAATAGAATAAAAAAAATAAAATAAAATAAAATAAAATAAAATAAAATAAAATAAAATAAAATAAAATAAAATAAAATAAAATAAAATAAAATAAAATAATATAATAAGAAATAAAAAGAAATGTATACGTAAAATAAAATAATAAACTATAAAATAAAATAGCCTTACATAAATCAATATAAAATAATATAAAATAAAATAAAAGAAAATAAGATGTATGTATAATAATACAATTAAATGAACAAAATAAATTGAAATTAAATTAAATAAAATAAAATATGTAAAAAATGAGTTGAATTAAACTACAATTAAATAAAATTAAAAAAAAAAAAAATTAAAACAACACGAAATAAAAAAAATTAATGAATGAATAAACTAAAAAATAAAAGAAAAAAAGTTATAAATTAAAATAGCATAAAATAAATCAAAATAAAATAATATGAAATGAAATAATATAAAAAAATACAATAAAAGAAAGTAAAACAAAATAAAATGCCATGAACAAAGAAAACTAAAAAATTAAACTAAAAAAAAATAGAATAAAATGTAAAAAAATGGGACAAAATAAACTATAAAGTAAATATAAAATATAGCATAAAATTAATCAAAATAAAATAATATAAAATAAAATGAAAGAAAATAAGTTACATAATAATAAAATAAAATAAATAATATAAAATAATACAAAATAAGGTAAAAACATATAATAATATGATAAAATAAAGTAAAGTAAAATGAAATAAATTAAAATATAATAAAGAAAAATATAAATAATAAAATAAAACTAAACATAATAAAATAAAAAATTAAATAAACTTAAAAAAGCAAAGATAATAATAAGATAGATTTAATAAAAATTTAATAAAATTAAAGTTAATAAAAAACAACAGAAAAAACTTTAATAAAGTAACAACTAATAAAATCAAAATATCATAAATGAAACTAAATAAAATAAAATAAAATAAAATTAAATGAGCGATTGTATAATAATTAAAAAAAAAAATCTTAACGTTTAAAGTTTCAATTCTTTAGGGTACCAAATAACTAATTAAAGTTTTTATGTTCATAATTGTTGTTAACATAAGGCAAAGAAAGTTACAGATTAATATTGTAAATTACTTTGTTACAAAAACAAATATATAATAGACGATGACGGTGCACGAAATGATGACGACGCAAATAAATTAAATGATATGTGAATATATAGAGATGAATACGAACGAATTTATACATTGTGAATATTTGTAAAGAAAAATTTGTAAAAAATTAAACCTTACATGTGGTAGCATGGAAATTGATAAATCGTAAATTTCTGTAGCTCCAGCCAATTGTATTCATATAAATATATGTAGTCTGCAGACCGGCAACTTGCTAACCATATTTCTACTGCAGACATAATTGCACATTTAATGCCACACGACTTTACTGTACACATTGAGTCACACATTCAAATTGTTATGCTTTCGATTGGCCGGTAACTTATTACTTAAAGTATTTACCAAACAAGCGTTGTGTTTCCAATGCAAACCCCATAGCAAATTACAATGGTATTCGTATTCGTGATTAGTTGTTCACTACGAACTGCATTTTTGAGGTAGAGAAACTGAAATGTATGTATAAAAATGACAAGTCAAACTAAACTGAACTATTTACGAAGTATTCAAAAATATTTACAATATATTTCGTAAGTTTCACTGTGATTTGATGAAATAGAAAATACGTACAGATCAACTGAAGTGAAGATATTGCTACAATACAGTGTACAATAATGTGGTTACTGTAATGTGTAGTTATTAAGCTTATATACATAACCATTGAGTATATATTATATTGTATTCATCAATAAACAATTTTACTGTACTCCAAAACCAACTAGTTGCTTACCAGTTTTACCAATATCATTTCACTACTGCTTATAAGTATTTATTTTTTATACAAATGATGAATATTTTCCCATGCGAAAGATCAGCATTTCTGCAATAAAATCAAACTTTCATTAACTTTGCAGCTGACATAACATACATACATACATATATCGTTGAAATCATTAAACCTGACAAACCAATGAAGAAACATATACAAAAATCACTTAATGAAAGCAGTAATGGGTGGTCGGAAGGCAAGTAACTTACTGTTTTAATTGATAACATTAGCGGGTTTTTAGAGTAGCTACATTTTCAAAAAATTTTCAAATAAAAATAAATTTAAATACAATAAATATTTTAAATTTTTTTGAATTTGTTAGAGTTAAAGAGTACTCAAAAATTATAAGAAATTTGTATTATCAAAACGGTTGACTACTACAAATACCCAAACTCTTGGGTCTTCGAATGCATTAAAATTGCACCAATGAACGATGTGTGAATTACAGTTTCTTTATCACATGAATTTATGTTTAGTAAAAATTTGACCTGTCAGGTAAAATTCATTTTTTCTTTTTAGATCTTCCTCGTGTCGCTTTAATTTAATATAAAACTTACCTCTCAACCACCCTATTAACACAAACACAGGGCCATTTCTCAGTTTAAATGAAATAATATTTCCTTTACTGTAATTTTACGTCGATTATTATTAAAACATCTTAATATGGGCCAAGAGGTTAACAGCGTCAGCACTTCTGCCGGTTACTATTGAATTTGTATATGTTTATATGTATGTACAAATAGGTTTTTAAATTCATTTGTACATATGTTTGTACAGCTAACTGTCAATACACTAATTGTTTTGCTGATGCTTCATTTGAAATGTCTTGTTGCTGTTAGATAATATTGTGACAAATGAATTTGAGTCAAAGATTTCTTCAGCGTACGCATGCGATTTGAGTCTTCAGTGAGGCTAAAGGTGTTGAAGTGTTTATAACCGAAAATTACCACAATAAGATATATGTATATATATATAATTGTAAGAAAGGATACTCGTGGATATAAAACACAATGAAATACGCAAACAATTTCTTAGTGAGTATGAAGCTGAGTTTTAGTGTGCACTGTGTGCGAGCTGTGTTTATGGGTGGCAGGAAGTACGGTTGCTTGATAATCGAGACAAAATACAAATAAATTAATAAAGGATTTTCGAATAAGAGGTGTTTTCCGGTAGATATCACTTTTGAAGCTGGAATTTTTTGACTTTTGGCACATAAAAATTACGCCAGTAATAAGAATGGAACGACTGAACCCCTCAACAACATATTGAACTTTATAAAATTCACTATAAAAATGATGAAAACCTGGCAGGAACGGTTCGTAAAGCAAAACATTTTTCGGTTGTCGTGAAGTACCTTGTCGGACCACAGTAGAGACATTTTGTTGGAAAATATGGAGTTGTTGGGCCAAGTGAGAGATGTAAAGAATAAGACACGTGCACCTCGCTCAAGAACAATTGAAAATATTGCTGCTGTAGTACAAAGTGTTGAAGTAAACCCAGGTTTGTCCATTTCTCATCGTTCCTTGGTACTGGGCACTCCAAAAATATCATTACTTGGGTCTTGAGGCTCATAAAGTTCAATTAACACCAGAACTCAAGTCGGCCGATCAGCAACAACGTCGCGTCTTTACTGATTGGGAGCTTGAAATGCTCGAAATAATACAGAAATTCAACGTAAAATCATCTTGACTGTTGAGACACATTTTAATCTCGTAGCTGTAGCCCACACATCAATAAGCAAAACTGTCACATCTGAGGTTCGGAAAACCCAAAATTAACTCGTAGAAAAGCCTCCCCATCCTCAACGTGTGACCGCTTGGTGCGGTCAGTTGGGGTTACGCGCAATGATTAATTTTTTTATAGCCGGAATTTGATGGTAAGACAACGCTAGGTGCCACACAAGCAACGCAGCCATCGATTCTTTAAGGGAAAAGTTTCCGGACCATGTTATCTCTCGATGAGATGAACGCAATTGGTTATTGAGGTCTTTCGATTTAACACCTTGTGACTACTACCTTCAGAGTCACGTGATAGATAAGGTCTGCGCCAACAAGCTAACGTCGATTCAAGATCTCAAAGATAGAGTTCGTGAAGTTATTAAGGCCATACTACAGCCACTTTCCGAATTGGTGGAGGAAAATTTCATAAAAAGTGAGCGGTGCTGTAAGCGTAACCGTGACAGCCATTCGACTGATATTGTTTCCCGTTATTTATGGCATATCTACCACTTTCCATTGAAATAAACATACGATTATTATGGAAGATATTCCTTGGTTTTTTTAATGAAAGATATGTGATTATTGATACTTGCTGACGCTATATCTGCAGGGCAGTCAAAATAAAAATTCCATTGTAAACCATGTTGGGCTAAACTTGGGGCAGACCAGTGGCAGAGGTACACTCCTACTTGTCTATGTCTCAGCAGCCGCAACAGTAGTCAAGTCATGAGTCTACATCAAACAGTGCCCGGCAATTACGCCGGCTGTTATACTCGAGGAGGTTCTGTTTAGAAGGAGTAGAAATTTTATTCTTTTTATATCGATCAATGGCCAGATCTGTGCTGTCACATTGCAAGTAGTTTCAGCCTGCTATCCTCTATTGGCCTTGCTGGTGAAGGCCGATCTTAGCAGGTATTTCGTGTTGTTAGTTTATCGGCCTCTCAATTTTCTGGAATATCACTATACCCGGGGACTCAAACCGAAAGATTTCACTATATTTGGTAGATACTTTAACCCGTTGATTTCTTTTTGGGGTTTTTGTTGAGAAAGTGTTGTCGAAACTAAAAAAATAGTTAGAATAGAATTCAGCAGACGGGCTTGTCCTAAGTTATTCAAAGATCAGTTTGGAGGAAACATTTTGCCGGTTTTTGGTAGTCTGCAACTTCAACAAAAGTCGTTAGATGGCACGTCCAACCTATCTGCGTGCCTGCCCAATAGAATATGCGCTGTAAGAAGACCTATTACTGTAGATATCTCTTTTCTTTTTAGCTCGATAAGGTCACATGAGCTTTTTCCGTTCCATTCTAGCCATATTATTACACGCATTGAGACTTCCCATCTTCAGTTGACATCTTTAATGAATAACTCTCGTATGTTGAGCTTACAAGTGAAAAGCGACATGTGCAAACTCTTCCATGATGACGAAAGTGGAAGAGAAGTGTACTTCCTTGTAAGCTCGTACGTCATCTCATTACCCAGCATGTTACGGTGTCCAGGTACCCTTACCAGGTTCAAAACGAACTGTTTAGCTATCACATTGATTTGTGGTTGTTCTCTACGTTTTCAGATTTTACTGTTATTATATCGGGGCTCTCAATGCACACTGGCTATCCGAAAAAAAATGGATACGATTATTTGAGAGCGCCATTGAGCTGTGCTCACAGCCTAATATATTGCCAGCTTAAGCGGTCACAAAGCGTCAATTATATAAATATAATTTTGATATTAGAAAAAGCTTCTGTGGTATTGGTATTTCCCGCCGAAAAATATTTTAGGTAGATTTAATCTCAATCCCAGTGTTGCACTAAGCAGTGCAATTGTATACGATGACTGCTCTTTCAGCGCCATATTTTGCAGTACACAATAAGAAGCGGCCATAAGTTTCGAACTATATTCGAGAGAGAGTTCGGTCTTTGCAGTCATACTATAACTGGTCATTCTTTAAATTTGTCTATCAAGTTCTTGAACTGTAAATGCTAAAATGTCTTTATTTTTTTTCTTATTTTAGTGAAAATATAAATAAATTTTCTCATATCTTTTTCCCCACAGCACCTTCTCATGTTATCTCACATCATTTACTTCAGTAACAGCACACCATTATTTGGTGGCGAAAAAGTACACATTAAAGTTCATGTGCCGGAGGAAATTTCACATAATTTCCATGAAGCTGCAACAATTCGTGAACCTAAAATTAGTATTAATCATCAAAATCAACACGAACAGGGACAACAGACACCTGTGATTGTGCATATTCGAACCAAGCTTAGCCACAATCAACGGGACTCTCTCTTGGAAAACTTTCTCTTCTCGGATTGGAAAAATACTTTTGATGATGCAAGTATCGAGGAACTAACCGAGCATTTATTTCATACTGCAGACGAAGCAGCTTATCGGAATGCTTATATTAAAATTGCACCTAAAAGACCAACAAAATATATAAATACCTACAAAGTGGTTGAATATAAGGCGCCAGGCTTTGGAAAAAATTACTATGAAAACCACCCAAACCACTTTGATAACCATCCAACTCGCGCACCCTACACAGAAACTGGATATAAGCCTGCGTATACTCAGGAAAACAACCACGAATTTACTACAACCATACCAATTATGGAGCTTATACCCAACACAAACGCATATTTGCCGCCTTATGAATATCCTTCGCCATCGATTGACATTCCTTATGTAACTACGAATGTGTTGTTGCCTCCCAAGGAAACACTCACTCCACCCATCAAAGAAGCCGAAGACTTTCGTAGTGAGTTTAACTCTTCAGACGGTCCCAATGAAGATCTCTTACCTTTCATTGGTGGCGATATGTATCTACCTGTGGACGAGGAGAATTCAGTAGCTCAAGAGGCGATTGAAACATATACCGGTTTCGATAGTTATTCTGCAGGTCATGTGCAAGGCATAGACGACCAGAGCTACTCGCCATATCGTCGAAAGGGTAAAATAATTTAATTAAGTGGGGTTTACGTCTTGTACATGAAACCACATAAGCCTTAAATGTAAATAAATATGTACATATGTATATTTAAATGTAATTTATTTATAACTTTTTTCTAAAAATATTATATGTGTTTGTATGTTTGTCTGTATGTATGTACCAAGTGTCTTAAGTCTTAATTAGTTAAATAAGAGCGGAAAATCAATACGCACAATTAAAATAAAAATACTCGTATATATACGAATACATGTATGTATCTATATGTCAAAATGTACTTGTAAGCAAATAAAAGCGATTAAAAGTGTAACGTTGGTTTCATTATACGAATCGTCTTAACACCTCCACCGTTGTTAAAGACTTGTAGGGTTTCCTTTACAACATAAATAATTTAGAAAATGTTATGTGAGACATCCAGGGCAGTCACAGTTCTTGATCTTATTGGTTGCTCAAGTGACTATGCGGTCATATTAGCAGACTTAGCGATTATTTATTGTATAAGTGACTAGATCCAAGCTCGCGAGGCAAGCTTCCCAGTTTCATCACTTTTACGGATATTTTGTTTTATGCACGAGACATATCCAGAAAGTAAGCGTACTGAACTTTTATAGGTTTTGAAAACTTTATCCAAAAAAAAAAAGAAAATTGGTTTCGACATAGTTTCGTCATTCCTCTCTTTGCCGGTAGTGAAGTGGGGTATCAGCTTATTGAGGCCTTATTCGAAGTAATCTCCTGCCAAGCCCGTTTCACGGACAGTTTCGGTTTAGGGTTTCTACAGTAAGCTCATCGATTGTTAAGTTACGAGCCCATTTTCGTTTTTGTTTTGCAAGACATTTCATCAGTGGCAATTGAAGGTCTTCCGCTCCTCTGTTCATCATCCATCACTTGATTCATCAGAATTCAAAGAGCCTTGTATAACTTTAGCTTTGTATACATCATTAGTGAGGCCTATTCTGGAATATGGCTCAGTAATTGATTGATTCCATTCAAAAGTAAATTCTTCTTTATATATAACCCTGCCTCGTATTTTTACCTACTTTTTTTACTAATTTTTATTTTAATTTATTTCCTTTTATTTTATTATATTATATTTTTATCTTATTTTTTTATAAAATTTTTTATTTTACTATATTTATATATATTTATTTTATTTTACTTACTTTATGTTTTATGTAATTTTATTGTTTTATATTATTTAATAAAATTTCTACTTTTTCTATTATATTACATTCCTTTTTTGTTTATTTCATCTGATTTATTTTATTTTATCATTTTTTAATTTAGTGTCAATTTATTTTATTTTGCCTTATTTTATTTTTAAAATTGAATTTACTTTCATATTATTATATTTTTGCTTTAATTATTTATTATATTTTAATTAAAAAAATTTATGTCATTTTATTTTAATTTTTTCTTTTATAAAATTCCATTTTTTTTAATTTACTTTATTGCATTTTACTTTATACGATTTTTAATTTATCTTTTATTATATCGGCTCTAGTTTCATTTATGTACAGTTAGCTTATTAATTTTTATCTAATTTTTTCATTTAATTTAATTTTAACACTTTTAAGTCACTCTAATACATTAAGTTGCATTTAAATTTATTTAGTTATATTTTATTTGTTGCGATTTTTAATTAACTTATATTTTATTTTGCTCAATTTTATTTTATCTTATTTTAATTAATTAATTTTATTTTATTTTAAATTATTTTATTGTATATTATTTTATTTTATCCTATTTTTTATCTTATTTCATTTTATTTATTATGTTACATTATATTATTTTTACTTTAAGTGAATTTTTAAGGACAAAGCAAGAATATTTTGTTGAGAAAATTATATATCATACAATATTTATTATATTGTTCTTATTTAAATGACAATGTTTATTTATTTATAAAGAAGATATATTTTTTGTTTTAGAATGCAAACAAATTATATTAAATAACTTATTTGGAAATATAATAAATTTATTTTACTGTTACTGATGTATTTAGGGAGTTGTCATTGTAGACAAATCTGACGTGATCATTCACCTCATTCTTTAGTTTCAAGTCCTTAACCCACGAATATTTCATTTTTCATTTGATGAGATAAGAAATGTAGGAAATAGGAATGATTATATAAATATGTACTTATGTATATATATGTATACAAAATTATAATATTTAAAAGTGAAATCTTTTTATTTATTTCAGAGATGCTCAAGAAACACCTAGATATTATTTCTCAAGGAAACGAAATCGTTGACGTTGAGACCGAAAAACTCTTTGTTTATGATAATTTTAAAAGGCTGCTTACTGTTAACGATTTAACATTTTCTGTTAACGATTTAACATTCTCTGTTAATGATTTAACATTTACTGTTAACGATTTAACATTTTCTGTTAACGATTTAACATTTTCTGCTAACGATTTAACATTTTCTGCTAACAATTTAACATTTTCTGTTAACGATTTAACATTTTCTGTTAACGATCTAAAATTTACTATTAACGATTTAACATTTTCTATTAACGATTTAACATTTTCTGCTAACGATTTAACATTTTCTGTTAGCGACTTAACATTTTCTGCTAACGATTTAACATTTTCTGTTGACGATTATATATTTTCTGTTAACGATTTAACATTTTCTGTTAACGAATTAACATTTTTTCTTAACGATTTAACATTTACTGTTAAGATTCAAAATTTTCTGTTAATGATTTAACATTTTCTGTTAATGATTTAACATTACGGAAGCTTGTCGTTTCGGTTAAAAAAGAGGAAAAATTTACTTTGATAACATCTTTAATATTAATATTTCCAAATGATTCCAACGAAACGATAAAATTTTCTCGAATATCGTTACGTTGTTAAAATAATATATAAGTTAAAATTTATAAATTAATCAAACATTAACAAAATTATGCATCCAACATTTTTATTGAAATATTGAAAATTTAAAATAAAATTTATGAAATTTCTCTACTAAATTTTGTTTAACATAAAACCTTTTATTTCCAATTTTCTGCTTTTTACTAACTACAAAATTCCATATTCAACACTTTATGAATTATCTTAATTATCTTTTCGAAATCTATTAATATACATTCAAGTATTTAGTTTCTCATGTACATACATACACACATACGTGTATGTATGTATGGATCCGCCAGCGTGTAATACTTACAAGCGTTAAAACTGTTCATCATTTTAATTTTCACATCATCTTTGTCACCTACATAAATAGTAATCATTACACTTGTACATACCTACGTGCATTTCCTCATTATTATTTAATAGCCTGCTTTGTTGTTTATCATCTTTATGTGTTCGTATTTAATACGGCATGCGAGTGCTTGTCGCTATCTTTATAATTGCCGTGTGTAATCAGTAAAATTTGCGTTAGTCTCTTTTATTTACATTTGCACTACACACGAAGGGTGAGGGGATTCCTTTTGTTGTTTTGAAACCGTAAATTATATACAACAACTTTAACAAAATAAATTAAATGACAATCTATAATATTAAAATGTAAATATTTATTGATATTATTTTGAACCCAACAGTGATAAGCTGAGTTGTTATAGCATAGCATATATAATATGTACGTGTATATATGTAAGTGATACAAAATTTCATAGCAAAATTGTGGGCGAAAATTATCATTTTGTTCTTTTTCACAAAATTTAGTTAATTCTGAAATTTTACAAAGCATTTGGAATACCACAGAATATCATAGAAAAATTTTTGGATTATACTTTAGAAAGGGTCGTGAGCGATTTACAGCCGTAAGTAACAGAAAATGGTGCAAAGGCTTGAATAATGACATATGAAATATATGAAAGAGGGCTGTTTTCGAGACAAATCGAACGACTTATAGCACATTTCGCAATGGCAAATTAAGTGACGGTGATTTCGACGGCTAGCCCATCCCAAGCAAATGCGTGAAAGCACTCAAGGTTTGAAGCAGTACAAGCTAGTGATCACCGGTCTGTTGGATTTTTCGATGATCGTTCAAAAAAAAATAAGAAAAATCACAGCAAGAGGAAGATCTTCACTTCCCCGGAAACATCAGATAGAGAGCGATTTGATGTCACTTGGCATTTCCGATTGGAGCCAAATAGCAGAGAAGAGAAAATGACTGGCATTGCCAACCAAGTTAAAAAAAAACTGAAAATATAGAGTCCATTGAGTTGATTAAGACTTTAAATCAATTTAGAGTTGGAGAAAAACTTTGACTGAAATTCAACTTAATACGAAGCAAGTAAGGAAAACTTACCTCGGGTGGAATCAGGTATTAGATACTTGACTGATGTTTATATATATATATATATATATATATATATATATGATTAGTGAGCCCACAGATCTGTCAAAAATAGAAGGTCTGCTGTGTGAGAGGCCATTATTGCCAGCATATTTTGTTAACACTATAGTCCCCATGAAAAGTACATACCAAGTTTGGTTGGGTTCTGTTGTTTAATGCCGTAAATATTCGATCTTGCGTTAATAGTGGCGAATGAATAGTAAAAAGTCTGTTATATACAAAAGCTTAATTATTGCACGATTATGCCCATGTACAATTCCTCTTCGTGGCAGAAATTAAATATACAATTTTATCAAGTTTTATGGTGTCTAAGATATACTTTTCTAATCTGGAACTGTACCGAAGCGAGTTGCAATGCAATTAGATTAAATGTAACTCAACTTTGGAAGAACAACCCAAAATATTATCTCGTGCAAAAGTGACGAAGTAGCTGGACTACGCCATCTGCAGTATGTGAATCGACAATATTTTTTCCACGAAAATGCGTAACAGAAATGAATGGGGAAAAAACAACGGTCCCGATTGGGGAGCCATAGCCATATTTCCACCCACTCTCTGATGCTCTCAAGCAGAACTCTTTGCTATCAAGTTGCTGCTTAAATCCACATCAGCACAACAATAAGCTAAGATATGTTGCGACAGTCAAGTTGCCATCAGATCTCTACAATGTAACAGTTTTCCATAAAAATTGGCTATAAAATGTAGAAGCAATCTGAACAAACTCTCGACTAAACGCAAACCAGCAGTGGACTGGGTATTCACACACAGTGACATACCAAGCAATTTCGCGCCCGACGAACTGGCGAGAGAAGGAATTCTTCTATTCACAACAAAACAAGGTTTCAATTTGTTGACAGTATAGCTTAGACTAGCTTTTGTCAAAGAAGTACACTCTCGATGTCTGTATGATATTATGTGTAAAGTAACCAGACTACTATGGCCAAAATTGGATGAAAAAAAAAAACAAAACGTCTTATACTTCTAGACCGGCTATCCTTTAACATACCGACAGGCATATGTGACTCCACGGGAAAAGAATGAGCTGCCACTCTAATGATTTTTGCCGCAGCTGTAGGGACGTAGAAGAGGAAGTTCCTCGGGAAACACTTCTTCGACTCGCTCGCTGTTTTCATTTCAAGTAAAATTGGAAATATCGATGCTTTTATAAGTCACACGAGCTGGTATGAATATTTGAGAAGATCAGGAAGGAGCCTCACAGCGGTAACACAATGAGCTTATTGGTCTAAATGCGCTGTTAACCACCAGTAGGTGTATCAACTCAACTCAAGATATACTTTTTGTCCATTTAATGTGACTTTAATTTAAAATTTAGTTACTGAGTTTTTGCGATTTTCGTACTTTTCGAAATTACCGTTACATGGTAGGTGGGCGTGAGCTTGGTCCTATTTGTCTAATTTAGAGGGAATATATGAAACCAGTTTCATCAAATTATCTCTACTAGAGTGAGCCTGCACACGAACGGACGGACATGGCTAAATCCTTTCGTCTAGTCCTTCCACGATGTTTGATATACATACATCTAAACATATATATGTCAGTTTCTCACTTGATTATTGTAAGCCGCTACATACATACATACCTAGTACGAATTGCATTTGGTACTTAATGAGAAAATTAATTTTTTATACTCTTATTGAACAGTGGTGAATGCGGCAAGGACTGCGGAGCGATGAAGTAAAATTGAGTTTTTAAAATTTTTATATTTTCTTAATAAGCTACCTTCAAAAAATCATTGTGCTAATGGAAAATTAAATATCAGCAAAAAAAAACAACAAATTGCAACAACACAACCAGATTAAATAACATAATGAATTAATAAATAAATAAAAAAATAAATAAAAATTAAGCTAGTAATACTTCATTGCAGTAGCTCGAATACGGTACGGCAATTTATTGCTTTTAAACTATTTCATAGTTTCCTTAACTCGTGCTTATGCTATGTTTGTACATATGTATGTATGTATGCATGTAAAAATGTATGGCTATATGGGAAAAAGCTTTAAATCAATTTAAGCGCCTTTGAAATATGAACTTTAACGGCTATTGGAATTACCCAACATGCACATGCACATATTTACACTTTGTCGGCGCTTGTCAAACTAATTCGTTGGCCAAGTGAGCATGATAAACATACATATATATATACATTTATACTTGCATTAATAAACAAATATAAAAAATATATGTATCATATGTTTGCATTTATATGAGACGATTACGTTTATTTTTATTCAAATCTATGTATGAATCATTATATTTCTTTGTATATACGTATGTATGTACGCACAAACATATATACATGTTCGTAATATTATTAAAAAAAATGTACATACAATACCACCCCTGCACTGGTTGTCATGCCGACATTTAAACTTTTTTATGTTATGGTCATGTCCGTATGTCAATGCAACAACTAAACATGCAAGCACAAACACATGTAAATATACATATATGTATATGTGTATTTATTTGCATGTTTATACGTATGTAACAAGTGCTTTACATATGTTCGAATTGTATAAATATAAATGTCAATGGTTAAAAACCGCTTAACGGTAACTCAACTAAATGCAAAGTGTATTTTTAGCACAACCACAATGGCAAATTAGCATTGTTGGCTTCTCTGTCAGTCGTTAGTTTGCTCGTTAGTTGGCTAGTTGGTGGTTATTAAGGCCTAAAACTGCCCCAAACTCATATATGTATGTATGTATATTACAGCCCCAAATAGACGAGCATTGCATTAGCGTTAATCCCTATACATATATGCATACATACATACATACTCTCCTATCTACAAACACACACACATAAATGTTATCGCAAAACCAACTTTGTGTCTTTATATTTTTATTTTCATTACATATTTGTTTTGTTTTTTTTTGTTTTTTTTTTTGTATCTTATTTAATTTTTTTTGCGTGACAGCATACGACGCTACGCGCGGACACCAAAAAGCCAACGAACCAATCGTGTAGAAATAAAATCGAAAAGAAAAATAAAAATTAAAAACAGACCGGCAAACAGCGAAGTCTCTTCGCTACTAAGAATTTTCAATTCATTCAGTTTAAGTATTGCCGCCAAACGGTCTGCAGCTGTCCGGAATCCAAGTTCAAAAATTATAAACATTTCGAAAAAAATCGAACTAATAGTTCAACTATCAGAAACTCATTACATTAGTTCGTGTCATAATTTGTTAGCGCCGCGTTGAGTTGAGTGACAGTAATTAACATCACAACTGCTCACGTTTTTTGTTTTTTTTTTTACAACAAATAAATAAATAACCATACAAATCATATGCTAATATTTCCGTCGGTTAAAATTAACCTATTCGTCTACATCTTTGCATTTACTATATTCTTGGTTGTATTCTTTATCGGCTTTACGATATTTTCATATTACTAAATTGTGCGCTTCACCGCTTTCTAATCTCTGCGATAAGCGTGTGCAATTAGTAGTGTATAAAATAAACAATTGATATATAGAGTTAGTTAAATAAAATGACAGCTAAGAATATACCAAGACGTCAAGCCATTCCAGTGCTCTACACTCGAGGCACTCATTACGATGTCGGTTTTGATATGGTGAGTTTGTAAAACATTTATAATACGAGGATAATTACGATAGTATCGCGATAAAAATATGATGTTTATTTTGTAAAATAAGCCGTTAAATTTTTGTAAAATACATACATTTATAAAACGCATAGCGCGATACTGATAGATACTTTTAAAGGATGATTACTTTCAGCAAAAAAAAATTAAAACTTTTCTTTGAGTTTTCATACTTAATTTCTTCTCTCAAATTAATCCATTTTTCTTAAATTCCACTTTCTTCATTCATTATCAAAATTATTTATGCGTTTATTTCTTGGTTTGCTTGAATTTTTTTTTAACTAAAAAAAATTTAAGAGTCGACAGAACCGAGTGTATGAATTTTTCTATGATTTTAACAACGCAAAATGAATGAAAAATGTTGAATTCGCTTTGTGAGTCTATTTCTGAGCTTTCGAAGTTATTTCGAAATTTTTGCATTTGAATTTCTGTATTTGAGCATGAAATTACTGGAGCAACGAATTCAACTTTATTCATTCGATTGGCTTTTGCATAAAGGTTATGAAAATGATTTTCTGCTAATTTACACCAAAGCGAATTTATGGCGGTGAAATTACTAGGACAGCGAATTCGCCTTTTTATTTGATTTTCTGTGATTGTGATTTATGCGAAAAAATAGTTGACCGGATCGAATGTGTGCATTTCTCCATGATTTGGACAATCCACATTGAATGTAAGAATTTTGTATTGCTAACTGTTAAAATCGCTGTGAGAGTTTTTTCTGAGTTTTCGAAATTTTTACATTTGGATTTGTGTATTTAGAAATGAAACAGGGCATGCCGAATTAAACAAGGTGAGGTTACTGGAGCAGCGAGCTCAGTTTTTTTCCATTTATTCAATTCGCCTTTGCGTAGGGATTGTCAAAATGATTTTTTGCTACTTTAAGCTAACGCTAGTTTAGCAAAGTGAAGTTACTAGGGCAGCGAATTTAATTTTTTTCATTTATTATTATTATTGTTATTATTATTATTATTATTATAATCATTATTATTATTATTTATTGGAATAATCTAAAAATAATCTGAAATATTATACTAACAAACTGTTTACTTCCGCTTTGTTTATGGTTTGTCATGGTGAAATTAGAAAAAGGGATGTGATCAGTAGCTACGAGTTTACTTCACAAAATCCACAGCCTTATTGAAAGCGTTACTCACCCTAATGTAATTTCCTGAAAAAAATCTAATAAAATGGTATTAAAAGATCGATCACAGGTTCACTTCCTAGAAGCCTACGCCATACCTGGAAAAAACCCTCCAATAGTTTGGGCTGTGGGTTGAGCAGTCTGTGATTTATGACAAATCCTTTTATATATATAAATATACAGATTATATTATGCCCACGGCTTTACGCGATTTTTAATCCAACAATTTTTTTTCAAACAAATATCAAGCGATTTGGAGCCCTTAATAAGACTTCGTTTCGAATAGAATGGTCTCTGGCCCACTTCCCTTAGAGTAAAGTTTTCCACAAAATAATTTAATCCCAAGGCGATTTCTCCACCAAATTTTTTGTAAATTGAGCGATCTAAAAATTAAATCGATTTTTTTCGAATAGATCGGGCTCCGGTTTTTGATATGCACAGACCATTTTTGTCTACAAATTATAAATACGAGTGTATTTGAACAAAAAAGAGCGGCCAAGTGAACTGGCGGCATACCAGATGAAAGATCTTCCATTAAGCAGCACAGATCGCTACAGAGAAGAATAGGCAAGCAACAAGAAAAAAAACCGATTGATACGGTAATTGCTTTTTCATATAGATTTTTCATATAGTGAATACCAAACCGTATGCCCCACCGCAGGAGAGCTCGCCTTTCCGCATAAGTTCGACATACATATGTATATAAATTGCGGAAAATCTACATTCGTACACTTTATTTTCTTAAACTTTTTTTTATAATTTTTTTTTTTTATAAATTTTATAAAATTATTTTATTTTTGACTTTTAATTTTATAAAAAATATTAATTGTTTTGAAGATATGTATGTATATGGAAAGTTATACATATGTATTATTAAAAAATTATTTTTTGACTCATTATTGATTGCAACCACTTTCCATTTGGTATCATGATTTTGAGTAATTCTTAAGGACAAATTTACTGCCGGCTAATTGATTAATTGACTCATTGAGAAAAGTTACTCTCATCATTAATCATTAATGTATCAATGGCTATCGCTACATTAGAAATTAAAATTAAATCATTAGAAATTGTAAATGTACATATAATACAGTTATTTCATACAATAATTTATGCTTTTGTGATTTTATTTTATTTTTAAAGCATTTACATTGAAATAAATGATTACAAAAAAATAAATCCTAGCAAATCAAAAACTCAAAAACAGAACAGAAAAATAAAAATATAATAACAAAAATAATTTTTACTATAGGCACGATGTCAGCCGCAATAGCGTAGGAGTTAGCCACTCGGAAGGTCAGGCTTTGAATCCTAGTCCGATCAACATGCAAAATTAAAGAAATTTAGTTTTGTTTTATTTCAATTAATTTTATTTTATTTTATTTTATTTCAATTCATTTTATTTTATTTTATTTTATTTTATTTTATTTTATTTTAATTTAATTTATTTTATTTTATTTTGTTGTATTTATGACATGAAGTTAAAGCCATCAGCCGTTCGAAAGCGGCTTAGAATAAATTATAGGTGTCTCCAATTGTTGGAAGAACATCAAGATGCACACTAGAAATCGGAGGAAGAGCTTGACCGAAAATCGCTTCGGCGGTTATATAATTGTTATTTACGCATCATATCTCTACACTGCTAATATCTTATTACAATTCTTGTTTACTATTCAGTACATTAACACCGCCTAATTAATGGAATTCCAATTCATTTAAGTACGCAAAAAATCATAGATTTCGTTTTCAAAACTTATGAGTTACCTGTTTTTACAAGTAAAAAAACAAAAAAAGAATGAAAGCAAATAAGCGAAGAAGATCAACATAATTTTTCATCTAATATCCAATATACAAATGATACAGTTAACTAGTGAACAGAACTATGAACCGGTTTTTCATACTTCGTTCGCCAAAGAATGCCTTTTTTCAGAATTCAAGAATATTGTTAATTGAATGTATTAATCAATCGCTAAAACGTGAAGCGCCAATAAACTCGTAAGCATTTGCAAACTTTTTCCATTCATTGAGGGCTTAGCGTAAAACAACTTCGATCACATAAAATTGTCGATGTCGGCTTACTTTGAACTACTGACTGTTTAATAGCAGTCCGCAAATTTTCGATGTATTTGATGTCAATGGACTAGGGTGGTCATTCAATATATTTACCAAACATCACTTTTTATCCACTTTACTTGTTTGCTTAGGGTCGTTGCCATGCTGGAATCCAAGTAATTTGTACTTCCTTTCTACCATTTGCCAGCATGGTGTTCTGAAAAAACTTCGACATAAGTAGCACCCGTAATGTTTTCTTTAATCCAATTAGCAATACTTGCAGTTACAATAATAATTAACAGTGTAATCCATGAAAAATTAAACGATTTTCGGCTATTTCTTGCTGGAAAAATATTCGATAGAATGTTTTGAAGTTTTTTTTTTTTGGACATATTGAGGTATATTTTCAGATTTTTTTCTTTTACCAAAAAATATTCGAAAATAATGGAACCATTTGCTGACATGATTACGGCCGAAAGAGTAGCTGAAAAAAAAAAAATAAAATCAAAAAAATTATTAAAGTTGGCCAACGATTTTTGAAAAATATCAAAAATGAAAACAATCGCGTAGTTCTGAAAATCAGACTGTCGATTATTGGTGTAAAAAAATGGTTGCTTCTTTAATGCCAAATTAATAATTTTCAACCAATCAAAAATACCTACATATATGCTACATATGTAAATATATTCAAGTACACTCAGTTTCATATTAAAGTCGATTGCTCAAGTTCTTCTTTAGTTGTGATGTCTGCAATTTTGAAAACTTTTCGTTTCTAAAAAAAGTGCACTTAAAGCTTCAACTATTAGAACTTTACAGTTCAAAGAATATTCAACATGCGACTTTGTCACAGCACAGCACATTTTAATGAGAGCATAAACAAAAAAAAAACGATTTTTTGAAAGTTTCACACTGCTAAGCACTCCTAAGATTTTAACCGCAACTGTACGTAAGATATTAGTAGTGTAGATTTCATTATTCTTATCTTCAAACAAAAAAAAGCAAAAGTTGAATTGAATTAGTTTGAGAAAAATAATATCGAGCACAACACAAATATGAAATTATTTGGAAAGGAAAAAAAATCAGAATTTTTATTTTATTATATTTTCGTAGATTAAGTCTATAAAATCCGGTAAAAAATTTTGGTGAAAATCATTTCACCTTTTGTAGCTTGTAAAATGCTAATTGAAAATTTTGCTATGCAAATATTAATATTCCATTTCAATAATTTAATCGACAAATATGTTGACGTGAGAAAAATTAGACGTTCCTTTTTATTCTCACTACTATTCAAATAAATGTTTTTTAATTGCTTAATTAATTGATTGATTTAGAAGGGAGGTTTATATTTTGAATATGAATTTGTTTATTTAAATTACAAGTCTCTGTATAATTAAAGACCTTTCAGTATAAATAAAAGTATTTATATCTACATATATAACATAGAGTAATCCTTTTCGTGGTTTCAAAATTAAAGTGCTGCATTTTGGCAATTGTTTTGGCGATGTCAATATGTACACCGCGATCGTACGGTTTGTTAACGTTGCACCTTTTTTCTGTGGGACTATGCGAAAGACCGCGTTTCTGCGGATAAACCTTTAACTCTTGAGCACGTGGAAACTAACATTTGTTAAGTTATGCCAAAAAGTGATCGAAAATTACCTCAACCGGATCAAAGTTTGCATAGCTTCGCGAGGTAGTCATTTGAATGAGGTTCAAACTTTATAATGAAAAAGAAATTAAAAAAAAAATAAAATTATTCCATATGAATTCTATT